GGTTTGCACTCAAAATCTCACGATACATGGCCCCATTCATTCTGTCCTGTACATGGATCAGTCGTCCTGGTCCCTTTGCGGAGAAACAGCCCCAAAGCATGATGTTGCCACCCCCATGCTTCACAGTAGGTATGGTGTTCTTTGGATGCAACTCAGCATTCTCTCTCCTCCAAACACGACGAGTTTTTGTTTCTACCAAACAATTCTATTTTGGTTTCATCTGACCATATGACATTCTCCCAATCCTCTTCTGGATCATCCAAATGCTCTCTAGAAAACTTCAGACGGGCCAGGACATGTACTGGCTTAAGCAGGAGGACACGGCTGACACTGCAGGGTCTGAGTCCCTGGCGGCGTAGTGTGTTACTGATGGTAGCCTTTGTTACGTTGGTCCCAGCTCTCTGCAGGTCATTCACTAGGTCCCCCGTGTGGTCCTGGGATTTTTGCTCACCGTTCTTGTGATTATTTTGACCCCACGGGGTGAGATCTTGCGTGGAGCCCCAGATCGAGGGAGTTTAGCAGTGGTCTTGTATGTCTTCCATCTTCTAATTATTGCTCCCACAGTTGATTTGTTCACACCAAGCTGCTTGCCTATTGCAGATTCAGTCTTCCCAGCCTGGTGCAGGTCTACAATTTTGTTTCTGGTGTCCTTCTTTGGTCTTCACCATAGTGGAGTTTGGAGTGTGACTGTTTGAGGTTGTGGATAGGTGTCTTTTATACTGATAACGAGTTCAAACAGGTGCCATTGATACAGGTAATGAGTGCAGGACAGAGGAGCCTCTTAAAGAAGAAGGTACAGGTCTGTGAAAGCCAGAAATCTTGCTTGTTTGTAGGTGACCAAATACTTCTTTTCCACCATAATTTGCAAATAAATTCTTTCCAAATCAGCCAATGTGATTGTCTGGATTTTTTTTTCTCATTTTGTCTCTCATAGTTGAGGTCTACCTATGATGCCAATTACAGGCCTCTCTCATCTTTTTAAGTGGGAGAACTTGCACAATTGGTGGCTGACTAAATACTTTTTTGCCCCACTGTATACATCCACCATTTGGGTCCTTGCGGTTTCATGATATACTGACTCTGAATTGGGTCCCTTCTTTTACTGAAAAATCTGCCTAATCTGACGATCCGGAATCCAACAACACTTTTATGAATCTTGCAAACCGGACTTAATGTCCAGTAGGTTGGGATCTCCCCTTTTTTTTGGCGGTCTTAGTGTGAGCGTGTCTGGGCCAGGCGCACATATTTGATGGCGACCTCTATGGGTACCAACAGGCGATGATAAACGCATTTTAATGTTGATATGGCTGCATCTGATCCAAATAACATACCATCCTCCTCCACAACTTACCCCTGATGAAAGACAGTGATCTGAAATGCGTCTGGTTTTCTACTGATGATATTCCAGTAGGAAAAAGAGGACACCCGATTTCTAATAAGCTGGTTATATTGGATCCTTCAAACTATTGTAGCCATGTACTATTACCTCATTTTGCTTCTGGTTTTTATCAATTACATAATTGTGTCAATCTGTGATTTGCATTTCTGGGTAGGGGGCGTGCACCACCCAACCTGTGCTGCTATTGGCTGCTGGGGATGTCAATCACCGGGTGTCGGACACTAATACAGTGAACAGTGCTTTTTATTACATAACATTGCTTTTTATAACATTGTAGTAAAGTTTTGTTATATTTTACCTCAGCACTTCTTTTTGAGTTGCCTTTCACCACTTGCCCTCCAGAGGATTTACCCCCCCTTCATGACCAGGCCATTTTTTTGCGATACGGCGCTGCATTACTTCAACTGACAATTGCTCGATCATGCAGCACTGTACATAAATGAAATTTGTCATTTTTTCCCCCCACAAATAGAGCTTTATTTTAGTGGTATTTAATCACTTCTGCGGTTTTTTTTTTTTTTTTGTGCTATAAACAAAAAAAAGACCAACAATTTTGAAAAAAAATTTTTTTTTGAATTTTTGCTATAAAACAAATCCATTAAAAAAAAAAAAAAAAAAAAAAAAATCTTCATAAATGTAGGCCAAAATGTATTCTGCTAAAAAAAAATCCCAATAAGTGTATTTTAATTTGGTTTACGTGAAATTATAGTGTCTACAAATGGCGGTATATATGCTGCTAATTTTTTTTTCTGTTAATACTAGTAATGGCGGCGATCAGCAACTAATAGCAGGACTGCAGCGGGCATTCTGACACTGGGTGGGAACTAACTGCCACTAACATCCCCAATGATACTAATACAGTGATCAGTGCTAATAAAAAGCACTGTTCACTGTATTAGTGTCCTACACCCGGTGATTGACATCCCCAGCAGCCAATAGCAGTGCAGGTCGGGTGGTGCACGCCCCCTACCCGGAAATGCAAATCACAGATTGTTACGTGATTTTGCGCAGCCATGCCTACCTGTAGCAGTACATCTTCTATAGGGTGGCGGCCAAGTCCCGCTCTTTTTTGGGGGTCTCTCACTTATCATAGTATTTTGGGATGTAGGCAACTTGGAGGCTTCGGATGGCGATATACACTGCTCAAAAGAATTAAAGGAACACTTTTTAATCAGAGTATAGCATCAAATCAATTAAACTCCTGGGATATTGATCTGGTCAGTTAAGTAGCAGAGGGGGTTGTTAATCAGTTTCAGCTGCTTTGGTGTTAATGAAATTAACAGGTGCACTAGATGGGCAACAATGAGATGACCCCCCAAAACAGGAATGGTTTTACAGGTGGAGGCCACTGACATTTTTTTTCCCTGCTCCTCTTTTCTGACAGATTTTTCACTAGTTTTACATTTGGCTAGGGTCAGTGTCACTACTGGTAGCATGAAGCGATACCTGGTCTCTTCAGAGGTTCAATACGTGCCATTACCAGAAGGTTTGCTGTGTCTCCCAGCATAGTCTCAAGAGCATGGAGGAGATTCCAGGAGACAGGCAGTTACTCTAGGAGAGCTGGACAGGGCCGTTGAAGGTCCTTAACCCATCAGCAGGACTGGTATCTGCTCCTTTGTGCAAGGAGGACCAAGGTGAGCACTGCCAGAGTCCTACAAAATGACCTCCAGCAGGCCACTTGTGTGAAAGTCTCTGACCAAACAATCTGAAACAGATTTCATAAGGGTGGCCTGAGGCCCGACATCCTCTAGTGGTCCCTGTGCTCACTGTACGGCACCATAGAGCTCGATTGGCATTTGCCATTGAACACCAGAATTAGCAGGTCCTGCCAATGGTGCCCTGTGCTTTTCACAGATGAGAGCAGGTTCACCCTGAGCACATGTGACAGATGTAAAAGGGTCTGGAGAAGCCGTGGACATCGTTCAGAATTATAGTTTTGGTGGTAGGTCAGTAATGGTCTGGGGAGGCATATCCATGGAGGGACGCACAGACCTCTACAGGCTAGACAGTGGCACCCTGATTGACATTAGGTATCAGGATGAAATCCTTGGACCCATTGTCAGACCCTACGCTGGTGCAGTGGGTCCTGGGTTCTTCCTGGTGCATGACAATGCCCGGCCTCATGTGGCGAGAGTATGCAGGCAGTTCCTGGAGGATGACGGAATTGATACCATTGAATGGCCTCCATGCTCTTCTGACCTAAATCCAATAGAACACCTCTGGGATATCATGTGTCAGTCCATCTGACACCACCAGGTTGCACATCAGACTGTCCAGGAGCTCAGTGATGCCTCGGTCCAGATCTGGGAGGAAATACTCCAGGACACCATCCACCCTCTCATTAGGAGCATGCCCCGACATTGTCAGGCATGCATACAATCACGTGGGGGCCATACAAACTACTGAGTACCATTTTGAGTTGCTGCAATGAAAGTTCAGCCAAATAGACTAGCCTGCTGCATAATCTTTTCACTTTGATTTTCAGGGTGTCTTTGAATTCAGTCCTCTGTAGGTTGATAACTTTCATTTCCATCAAACAACGGGGCATCCTTACGTTTCTAACACATTACCCAGTCCATATCAGTATAGATATCCAGCCTGTTATTTTCCCCTTTGAGATACGATGTGTTTTCAAAGTGTTCCTTTAATTTTTTTTGAGCAGTGTATTTATTGCAATACTTACAGAATATTCTTGATGAGTTCCGTTTTGGTTCCCATTCAATGTTTTGGTTTTTTTTTTTTTTTTTTTTGGCAAAGGGTTAAACTATGCTAGATACTGTCCCTTCCTGGCTCTGCATCACTGCTCTGATCATTATACAACTTGTGCTCTATGACTATCAAAAATTCTTTGTTGCCCCTGCATGATTCCTTTTTTATTATTTTTCTGAATATTAATATTATTATTTCAGGTATAGCGCTGTCAATTTACGCAACACTTTACATATATATTGTACATTCACATCAGTCCTTAACCCTCAGGGGGCATACAATCTAAGGTCCCTAACTCACATTCATACATACTCATACTAGGGCCAATTTAGACAGGAGCCAATTCACCTACCAGCATGTCTTTGGAGTGTGGAAGGAAACCAGAGTACCCGGAGTAAACCCACGCAGGTACAGGGAGAACATGCAAACTCCAGGCAGGTGGTGCTGTGATTGGGATAGATGACATATGCGTTGGATCCACACCTTTTGCATTTGGGTGCTTTATGACACACATCAATGGGCATTACTATATGACATGTGATAACATGCAATGTAAAGTGTACAGCAACAGACAATAAAACACACAGAGCTTTGTTGCATGTTGACATGCATTTTTATGTGTTTCCATTATATAAATGTAAACTGCTTCAGAAATAATTTCACAACTCAAACTTGTGAAATGGACAACGGTGCGAATAGAGCGCCTTCATTAATACTGTATATTGTTCATTGATACCGAAGTTGTTTATTCCCAGCAACACAAGACTCTACTGATCTACTTTCCCCCACTAAAAGAAGTACCCAAAAATACATTATTGAAGGTCTGACAGAGAAGTCCTCACAGATTTTGGACCCGTGGGATAGGCTGTTTAAGATTCTGTCTGTAGTTGGAATGAGATGTGAATGGCAGATGGACAAAGGAACAAGGTAATAATGCACACTCAATATAATAATTATAATCTGCACTTAGTATTAAGAGATATATTGGAGTATAATAAAGGAATAGGTTTCTTGTATGCTCCAGCTTTATGACTGACAGGAAGTCGGAAATAAAATTGGTCATTGGACTTTTTAAAAACTAAACTCTGTCAATTATATTTGATATCTGATATGTTTTTAAGATTTAAACTCTGTTACATTTTAGTCTCTTTTCTGTCTTTGGTCTTTATTGGTACACACTTCATTGTTCATGCCTTTGATGTTTTCATAGATTTTTTCTTCAGATGAATCCATACAGTATATCTGCTTTGAGACAACATTTGTATTGTTTCATTCAGGACATATAATGATCTGTTTCACCGTGTGAAAGAACTCTGCCGGTACATCAGCAATTTTGACAACGAGGCTCATGCAAAATATAAAGAATCAAGTTGTCTATTCCACTACTATGATTTTTTTCAAAAGTGTCTGCCATTATATCAGTGCCATTCAGCCATCCCTTTTCCAAGGTGAGTGTGTTTTATCGAAGAACACAAAGAACAACTTCATTTAGTAGCCAAATAGTATCATAAAATAATCAGTACAATGTATTTGTATCGATTCCTTGAGACATTAATTGTACTGGAAATGTCAGCATGCAGCTTTGTTCAGTGCTCCATCACAAAGATTAGTCAAGAAGCTATACACAAAATAAAGCTGTTGCAGGCTTTTATAAGTTTGCTTTTCTCCACTACAGCATACGGAAGCTGTTTTTGCTTTTGAGTGTAGATTTGCATGTGATCGGTAAATCCCACTAAATGACTGGAAGCCCTTTTATGTAAGGAGCATAAAAAAGAAGGTGGCGGTGCTCCAATGTACAAACAGCAGATTTCTTAGCTGTTAAGAAGACAGAAATATATGGCTCTTGGATCACCAGTAGATGCATTTCACAGTCATTTATTGCTTAGTCATTACTGAAGAAGAAATTCAAGAAATGAATGATTACTTATATATTAATATTTATGCATTTTTTCTTTAGTGATATTTTTTGTACATTAATCTCTATTTTTCTTTCTTTTTGGATAAGTTTTAATATCTTGTCACCTGGATATTAGTGGCTAGTTTATAACTCTATTTTTCCTTTTTTTTTTTTTTTTTTTTTTGCGGAGATTCTAGTAGTATATTTTTATGTGTTCATATATTAATTTTTGCTTTGATTGGGTTATTTTTAGTTATATTGTTTCAACAAAAAAATATTTTTTGTGTTTTTGGATACCCCTGTTGTTTTAATCACATGCCCCCCCTTCCTGAAAAGGCCATTACACTACGTTACTTTAACTGACAATTGCATGGCCATGCAACACTGCACCCAAATTAAATTTTATCTTTTTTCCCACAAATGGAGCTTTCTTTTGGTGGTATTTGATGTCCTGTGCTTTTTTTTTTTTTTTTTGCACTAAAAAAACCAAAAAAAACTGACAATTTAGACTTTTTGCTATTAAACATGTCCAGTAAAAAAAAAAAAAAAATTCGAATTTTGTCATAAATTTAGGCCAAAATGTATTCTGCTGCATGTCTATGCTAAAAAAAAAAAAAATCTGAATATGTGTACATTAATTGGTTTAGGTGAAAGATATATTGTCTACAAATGGCGGTATATAAACTGGAATATATTTTTTTTATATGCTAGTAATGGGGTGGTCAGTGACTTATTGTGGGACTGCAGAGGGCATTCTGACACTGGTTGGAACTGAGTGTCACTAACATCCCCAGTGACACTAATACAATGATCAATGCTAATAAAAAGCACTGACACTGTACTAATGGCACTGGGCAGGAAGGGGTTAACATCTGGGGTGATCAAAGGATAAACCTTGTGCTGTTTTACTGTGTGTGTGTTTCACTGTGTCAGCACATTGCTTTGTATTGCTCTGCTCTGCAAAGCAAGGTGCTAGAGCTGACAGGAAAGATCTGTATTGTTTGCATAAAAAGTCTCTCCCCCATCAGTGCTACTCGGTGATCGCCAGGTGCTGGCGGGGAATCACCGGTCGGGACCTGGTGATCGACAGCTGAGGCCACCAATGGCTGTGCGGGTAGGGCACGCGCGCACCCCCTACCCGGGTATGCAAAATCATGTGTATGTATATGTGTATATATATATGTATATATATATATGTATATGATTTTGCACAGCCCTGCCACTCTGTAGCAGCATTTCTGCTATAGGGCGGTGGGAAACCGGTTAACTCCATGTTTTTGTCATCAGTGAGTTTTTTTATTTTATGGCGAGAGGTTGTCTCTGCTGATTAATTTCACCTTTTGACTTAGGTTTTAAGAAGGTGAATGTTTATGGAACTTTCCATAATGATTAGGAACTAAAGGAGTGTGAAACGTGTCTAATAATGTTCCAAGAGCTGTGTGTTTTCTGTCTTTTTATCTCTATGGAATGAACAGTAAAGATGTCTGCTGTTTGTACATTGGAGTGCTGCCACCTTCTTTTTTATGCTCCTTGATTATGGTTGCAGACCGGGCTGGCACACAGACACATCCAGCAGCATGGGATCTGCAAGTCAGCCTTGAGCGGTGTGTACCCTGTATGCTGTTTCCCTCAAACTACAGGAAGGGCCCTATAAAAGGAAAGGTATTGTAGTATATCTCCACTATAAAGTTTCATTGCCATTCATATACATAAACTTGGATATCTGTTCCCCAACTTTGGTAAAGGTGGTGAACAGCAAATTGTTCATTCCCCCTAGTTGCTAACTGGTTTATTGCAAAGATACAGCAAAATATATTGTGCCTTGTATTCTGATTACACACAGTTACTCCAAGATTATTAGCACCCTTACTGCATATAAAAAAGTAGCTTCTTCCATGTAGGGTTTGTGTGTGTGTGTGTGTGTGTGTGTGTGTGTGTGTGTGCGTGCGTGCGTGCGTGCGTGCGTGCGTGCGCGCGCGCGCACCAGCCACTTTATTAGGTACACCTGTTCAATTGCTTGGTAGCAAATTGGTAATCAGCCAATCACATCGCAGCAATTCAATGCATTTAGGCATGTAGATGTAGTTAAGATAACTTGAAGTTCAAACCAAGCATCAGAATGGGGAAGAAAGGGGATTTAAGTGACTTTGAACTTGGCATGGTTGATGGTGCCAGACGAACTGGTCTGAGTATTTAAAAAACTGCTGATTTACTGGAATTTTCACACACAACCATCTCTAGGGTTTACAGAGAATGGTCCAAAAAAGAGAAAATATCCAGTGAGCGGCAGTTGTGTGAACGAAAATGCCTTCTTGATGTCAGAGGAGAATGGGCAGACTGGTTGCTGCAACATTCAGATGGTAGGGTCAGAATTTGGTGTAAACAACATGAAAACATGGATCCATCATGCCTTGTATCAGTGGTTCAGGCTGGTGGTGGTGGTGTAATGGTGTGGGGGATATTTTCTTGGCACTAGAAAGGTGTACCTAATAAAGTGGCCGGTGAGTGTGTATGCATGTATGTATGTATCTCATATTGTTAATTTCCAGATGCTCCTTTTTTAAATGGAATTTCTTTTCCTCCAAAGGACCAAACACTCCAAGCCAAGTACCCATTGTCCTCTTGGAAGATATTCCAAATGTCTTCAGTGAAATTGAACTCGGTTCTGGCAAGCACATTCACAAAAGAAGAAAACTTGCAGACAGTAGAGAAAAAACAATGGTATTTCTAATTATTCTATCAGTGTATTGCACTGACAGTTTATTGGATGATCCTGTGTTGTTCTTTTGCAGTTCAGCCATTTTGAGGCTTGCGGATAGGTGTAGAAACAACTTGCTACATTACCAGAACCTTGTGAAAACATCCATTTAGAGTGCGATTTGTTTACTTTGTTTATATAATATCAGGCTGTGGGTTAAATGCTGTTTGCCATAGCAGCTGTTATTTTAAGCAATAAAAGTAATGAGAGATAAAACAATAACTGTCACATGGCTTATAATAACAATCTTTATGGTAAACATTACATGCTATATAGCTTTGCATGCTAATGCTTATAGAAATCCAAAGAACTGCATGCTAGCAAATCTGTGCTTTGAAATACAAAACAAAGAATACTGTGAGTACAGCACCACAATACAGTAACTCCCTTAAAACAATTGATACAATCAATAATTTTATTAAATATCAAAAAATACTCAATATAAAAAAAATTTAAATCAGGTCTGTGTTATTCATAGACCCTAAAGACAGCTCTTATAACCCCTTACCCTCACTTGGCTAATAACCTATATATGTACAAGAGTTAACATATCTGCATAATATGAGTTTCTGTACACATAGCATGAGCTTCCCAAAAAGCAAGGCTATGAAGAAGCAATTGTGCACATCTAGATACTTCTCAGGAAAAGCCTTTCATGTATTCAAACACAGTCGCCAAGGTAAAAACTCCATGTAAATGGACAGTCACAAAGGCACAACTAATTTTCTGTATGTGATACAGATAGGTGAGGACAATTTATACCAACATCTCTACAGTTGAAGTAGAACTAAAGGCAGAACCTTTTTTTTTTTAATTTTGGATCGAGTATGCGAGGGTTATAACTCTTGTCATTTTTTTGGCCATCTGTGTTTCATTGGGGAAATTTCCTTTCACTTCCTATCCCATAGCCAAAAAAGGGAGTGAAAGAGAAGAGGGAATCCTTCATTGTCTCTCAAATAGGTGTCCCCATTGAAAGATTCCCCTGCTATTCTTGCTCTGGTGAAAAGATTTTCTTTAACTTTTAATAGAGCGATAACGATAAACATTACAATTATCTCCATCAGGGACACAGACAGTAATAATAACCTGACAGGTGAGTGAAGTCAGCTTTTAATGTGTTTAAACTAAAGCTGTTGTATTTACCTATAAAATTTATATTTCCCGTAAATTTGAATAGTATTGATCTACATCAGAGGTCTCCAAACTTTCTAAATGAAGGGCCAGTGTACTGTCCTTCAAAACTTTAAAGGGGCCAGACTGTGGCCTGCAGGAGTTGAAAATGTCCTGGTGTCAGTGGAAGTAAACATTGTCACATCTTTGGTATTCGGGGGAGGAATAGTGCCCCACCATTGATGTCAGTGTGGGAGGAATAGTGCTCCATTGTTGATGTCATTGGGTACAATAGTGTCCCATTGATGTTGTCAATGGCAGGAACTATGCCCCATTGCTACTTAAAGTAGGGGAAATAATGCCTCAAGGGCCGGATAAAAGGGCCGCAGTTTGGAGACCACTGATCGACATCAGTCCTAAATCAGTTTTCTTTCATATTTTACAGTTTTATAAAATGTTAAGTTGAGAGTTGAGGTTCCTTCTGCTCTTTTGAACTGAGGTGTGAAATAATATCCATTGTAGTTTAGATTTTGTGTACGATCAGAAAGATTTTACATGGTCATATATGGTTGTCTATGTTTTTGTTTAAATGTACGCATATGTTTTGTAAATTCACAGAGCTCAGATGATGAAGATCTGTCTGGAAAAAGTCGAAGTCGCCATGTGGTTGTTAACAAAAACGATCTTTCTAATCCTAATGAAGCACTTGAAAGCTTTAAAATGGCAAGAGAATGTTGGGATCTTCTGCACTCTTCAGATGCCCTTGACAAAGGTACATGGCTTTTTTTATTTATATATATATATATATATATATATATTATATATTTTATATATATATATATATATATTTTAGAGCTGAACTCCAGGGAAAGGAAAGGATTGCCCCCACATTGCATGCATTCAAATGGTCTGAAACTCAAAATAAAAAATGTAATATATTGTAGCTTGCCAATCATTTAGATATAGTGGCTGCATTAATTTTTCTTTTTTTCCCTCTGTTTTCACCTGGTGATCTGGCCAATAGCACACTTCCTGTATTAGAGTACCACTACTCTGGATGAAGGAGCACAGGGGCACCTTTGGACAACAGAACTGTCAGTCTAAGGGAAAGGTAGTGACATATGGACTAGCAGATTTAGATTGTCTAACAAATTAAAGTCAAACTCCCACCTAACCCTTTATAATCAGTTACAGCAAACAGTTTCTTTTTCATTTGGCATAAAAAATTTACAGAAATAATTAAGAGCTGATCGTTGTAAGCACCCTTGTCAGTGGTAAATGGTTTGTTTCATCTCTATAACTGATGCATTCTGCTGGAGAGTTTGTTTTGTTGAAAAACAGACTCTTACAGGATGGATCACCAGATGAAAGTGCAAGAAAGCAAGTCTAAAACAGAAAACAAATCCAGTCATCAAATCTAAGAGTTGGTAAGCTGCAATATAATAAATGTTTGATTTTGGCGTTATTGCTGCTTTAACTGTTCGTTTATTTATTGGGGCCTGGGAAAAGTAGGTTTACTTACCTGATCCTCTACTTCTGCAAGACCGGTCCCTGCAGCAATCTTTTCCCTGCGATTTGGTGGTCCACTGCCCTCTTGATGTAATCAAGACTGATGCAGGGCCCATAGTGCAGTAGAGCAGTTAATCCTTCCAGTGTTGGGGGAGCCCCACCGCAAGGGAGCTTTTCTACTGATCCTGGCATTTGAAGGATAAGCCCACCTTTAAAAACAAACATTCAATGTCAATAAATGAGTTTACTTGCATTTAAACCCTAATAGTAATTTGTTTCTTTTCTTTATGCCAAAGTTTTTGTGTTTATTTCTTTTTGTATGTATACGTGTTTATATAAAATCTTTATTCTGAAATTCTATTATGTTCCTTTTTTGGTACAGACCTACTTGACAATGTTGCGCAAACTGGTTTGTGCTTTTCTGTAGTCACTTTTACTGCCAAAGAGCTTTACAGTGTAATACTGTGTTTCTGCAAATTGTGCTTTTTTACTTCCTCTGATTAGAGTTTTCCAGAATTTGCTTACCATGGAAGACAGACACCTGGCTGTGGTTAAGGATCTTCCTCACAGATATGGTTATTTATCAGGTAGGTGAGTTCTTCCTGAAACAAGAATAGACATTTGTCAGGGTACCAGAAAATAAAACCGTTTTCAAAACCGGAAATGATGCACTCCAGATATATTTGACTCTTGAATTATTTTACTGTAGGGACAACATAGAAAAGCCATCATCAGTCTTCACCTCATGGCAGCTCTGCAGGGACCTCACTCACCATCACAGCAGATTATGAGTCAAGGAAGCTTGGAGCAGCAAAGGTCACTAATCCAGCTTGCTGTCTGCCATTTTGCCATTGGTGAATATAAGGTACATGCTCCCAAATGACTTCATTCATTTTCTTCTACAGGTTTTTTCTGAATAGTGCTGACAAAACGGTTTTTGGCTTCTAAGCAGTTTACATTATAGACTTAACCTCCCTGGCGGTATTCCCAAGTGTAGCTCGGGGTAAAGTTTCAGTACCACAAGCGGTAACCCCCGAGCTACACTCGGGCTTACCATGCGGCGCTGCTCCGGGATCCCTCGATCACTTACCTTGTCCTGCGCTCCCGCGATGTCCCTCCTGCAGTGTCCCCTGTAATGTCCTCCGGCGGATGCCGGCATCTGTCATCTGGGTTCCATCCCCTGCGGGCGTTGGGACGTACGGGGATAGAACGGCGGGAAATTTGAAAATGACAAAAAGTGACATTCACTAAAACTAAAATCACACAGTATAATATCACTGTATCAGACCATTTCACATACATTTTGTCCCTAGTGCTTTGTCCTGTGCACTGCCGACATTTTTACCGTTCTTTCTGCCTGGAAACTGAGAAATGTCCATGGCGTCCAAAAAGCGTCCCTTTAGGTCAAAATCAGTTTCAGACCAGCTAAAGAACAGCGATAGTAAATTAGAACTACTTGCAGAATTGAGTGATAATGATTCGTGGGGAAATTCGTCATCAGACACTGAAAACGATTTTGCGACTTTGCTCAGTGATGTGCGAACTTGGCGCTATATTTCAAATTTCAGTGTTTTTGGTTTGATTATATTATTGAATTAAATTTATTATAATATATTTATTTTTTTTTATGATTATTAAATTATAATTTATGATTTCGTGTTTCAAATTTTAACATACCCGGGATGTTTACTAGACTCTTGTTCGGACAGATTTCAGTGAGTTATTCCTAAAAATTACAGGCCTACAATAAAAAAAAATACATATTTCCATGCAAAAAAATGTACCGTTTTGAGCACAGAAATATGGACATAATCAGACCACTAGGGAGGTTAAGTGTCCTCTTAACGTATTTGTAATGTTAAAGGCATTGTACACTTTCAAATGTATTTTTGTTGCCTTACAGTATCTAGGTATTAGTGTGGTTGTATTCTCCGTGTCATTTGTTTGCCTTACCTTGTAATGATGGGCTCATACAGTATGTTATGACTGCAGTTTGTAGTGTCCTCTTTGTTATGACTGCTCAGTTCCTCTTTGTCTATTATTTCCACAGCTAGCCTGTCCCTATTCTCCAAAGGAATAAGACCGCTTCCTGTTCCAGGTCACGCAGAGTACAATGCACGTGTTGCCATCAACGCTATGTCACATCACAAACATGCGAGGGCTAATGTAATAAAAAAAATATTCCAGCTGCATTGTGAGCTCTTTGTACTCAGCCTGTTTGTGACTGTGTCAGATCCAATTATTGTTTTATCACCTGGCTGGAGAACACTAGACTGAGAGACCCAGGGATTGTGGGATATGTAGCTTCTTTACAGGAAGTTCAGTTCTCATACTACAGACCGGGGTCATGCTTTAACCTGTGCAGTGCCATGCAACATGCCTCATGTTTGCACACAAACAGATACCGCTGCCTTCGTAATGTGAACAGCTCCTCTTCTGTAGGCTGTATGTACAGACCTGCAAATTACACCATGAAGCTATATGATCAATGCACATCTTATGCAGGTGAAAAATGCGAGGTGCAGATAGGAAGATTATAATTCCTCTAAAGTCAAAGTTTAATCTGCTTATATTCTGCCTTCCCTACTCCCCCCCCCCCCCCCCCAATCACTGGGTTTCTGTGCTTTTCAGTGCAGTGCATGGAAATCATGGCTGGTGGGAGAGACCAGCAGGGTGCTGTACATAGTTTTCAAAAAGCATGACAGCACCCTGCCTCAGTACCTCCTTTCAGTAGTCCTCTGCCCTGATGCAAGCAGTGGACTGGCTTTGGTAGGGATTAGGCAAATATAAAAATGTCACGATTGGTGGATGTCAGTGTGGAGGAGTGTTTGTTCCTAAGTAGACTGTTTTTGCATGTAGTGCTCTAGGTAACACTCACATGCGAGGCTGTGCCTCTGTGATTTGACAGAACTAAAATTCAATGAAGGGCAGGGAGAGTCAGTCTGGGGAGGAAAAAATTGGATGATGCTGTGTGTGTCTTCCAGCCAGGAAATTAGCAGACTTTTTCGACTTTCAGTAACTTATAACGCACACAATGAGACTCTCAATAAACAATTTGAGTCCAGAAGAGAGGAGTCTATACAACTCTGCAAGACAGAAGTGAAGGCTGAAGTTCAGCTTTAATGCCACTGTGCAACTACTCAAGTCAAGGAATGACATGCTGGGATATATGGCCATATTCGGTTTGTGTACATTTCAGATGAATCAAGGTCACAGACCTGAATATTTTCATTACATCAATGGTATTTTTTTTTTTTGCCACAGCTCACATGTGAGAAAATTCTGGAACTGATGAACTTCATTGTGCCCCCACCTCAGGAGACTTCCAAACATAGAGAGGAACAGTCAAAAGTCAAGCCGAAATCTAGGAAAGGTTTGTATGCACATGCTTATATTTAGGGCCCCTTTACACTTGTGCGGTGCACTGCAGTTCATTTCCACATTCATGATAACGTTCAGTATTTTACGCTTAGGCCTCATTCACACCATACGTGTAGAAAAATTGATGGAAACTGACACGTAGATTTCATTTGCAGAGACATCAGTTTACATGTGCACTTCAAGAACACAGAATGCGTGCAGAAAAACTGACGTCTCTGCACCATGGTGTGAACGAGCCTTTAAATATGTGTTGCATTAAGGCAGCATATTGATTGGCTATTTGGAGTGACGGAATGGCTATTTGAAATCTGTCACATTTGTCACAGAGATACGCACACTGCATTTTTGTGGTTTAGGCTCAAGCTCACGTGAAGTGATATTAAAGGCTACATTTGTTTTTTATTAAAATAAAAAAAAGTTATACTTACCTGCTCTGTGCAATGTTGCACAGAACAGTCCCTTAACTCCTCTTCTGGAAGTCCTCTATCGGCGTTGTCTGCTTCTCCCTGCTCAAAGTGCCTCTTTAGCAATCTGAGTGTTATGGGGGCACTAGAGCAGCCTTTCTCAACCATGGTGCCCTGAGGTTTCTTCAGGGGTGCCTTGGCAAAATATTTAAAAATTGGCCAAAACTTGTATACAAACCAGCGGGTGGGACAAGTCTGCCTGTTAGTTACACAAAGCCACAGGTTTTCATTGTGCACCATTACAACCTTCTAGCCGCCAGAGTCCTGACAACCAATGACATCATCAGTTGATAAGGAGGATGTCAGCTGCCTGCACAGCATCCTAGTTTGACCCTCCCCTGCCCCTCTCCATCAGTGCTGGGGTCACATTAGCTCAGTGATTGAGAAAAACTGAGGGAGAAGAGAAACACTGGAATATTAGTCAGTACCAGTGTGCAAAAGTGTATTTGCTTTGGAAGAATAAATCACCTCTAATGTTGGGTGTCCTACATGTGTGGGTGTTGCTGTGTTATATAAAACTATTTAGAATAGCTTTTCACATTTTGCTCCCTCCTCACACTTGTACTCACAGCAGCAGGAGCCTATGGCTCTCCTGTGAATCCAGGAACTGAAGAGAGCGGTGAGAGGAGCTAGGTGAGTGTTTAGGGATGGAGTGGGGAACTTTGTGGCATTTGACTTCAGAACCACATTAATTCTTGCATAATTTTCTACAATACTAGTGATGTTTTTGGATATGTGTAAATCCTGAAAGGTGTCTACCTCATTCACTCTCAAACACCACAAGATTTAAATCATCGCCCCCATAGATTCAAATATAATACCACAATATGTTAGAATGGGAGCTGCTACTATTAACCCACTGCAAATTATTATCCAAGATGTGATAAAATTAAATATAATAAAATATAAAAATTAACCACAAATAATAGCGCTACCCTTAAAGAAATTAGTAAATCCACCACCAAACGTGCACTATTAATTAAATCATAAATAAATAAAGAGTCCTCATACAGTCCATTCAGTAAAGTCCACACATCAATATTGCATATGATCCTCTCTAAGCTGGAGAGAGCTAAGCTGCAGAGTGTTGGACACACAAAGATATGCTGGTTATTCACCAGCTTTTGGTGAGTGTGCATTCTGATGGGGTGTTAAAGCACTGGATTTTGCACTGGTGATGGAAGGCTTCATAGCTTCATTTACTGAGGATCATATGCAATATTAATGTGTGGACTTTACTGAATGGACTCTATGAGGACTGTTTATTTATTTATGATTTAATTAATAGTGCACATATTTGGTGGTGGATTTACTAATTTCTTTAAGGGTAGCGCTATTATTTGTGTTTAATTTTGAAATTTTATTATATTTAATTTTATCACATCTTGGATAATAATACTAGTCATGCACCGGTATATCGGACGCTGAAAAGTATTGTCCGAAAATGGGGTTATTGAAGTTTTGCCGATAAGAAAAAACAAAAGGTGCCGTTAATGATAACTGACTTCAGTGCAAAATTGCGTTCCATTGACTTCAGTGCAAAAACGCCCCCTAGCGAGTTCAATGCAAAATTGCGCCCCTTTCACTTCAATGCAAAAACGCCCCCTATTGACTTCAGTGCAAAAATACTTCTATTTAAAAGAGAAGCACAGCCTAAGCTCTTTTGGCTGTACTTCTCTTGTGGATCCCAGGAGTGCAATTCGTATTGCACTCCTGTGACCCGTTTTTCACTGACACCTGGCTCAAGCCCATTGTCGGTTGACGTCACTCAGCCGGTCCAGGCTGGAGATGGATCCCAACTTCAAAGTCAAGATCCACCCGTCTGGAGCAGCACCTCGCTTAGCCTCTCAGTGAACCACTCCAGTGAGCACTGGGCGGGCAGAGCAGCCAGCGGTGACTGACAGTTACTGTTCTCTGCTCAGAGCGGCTGTGGGAACTCAGCAATCAGTGGTCATGTGATCGCTGAGTTTTCACACTTAGAGCCGATGGGGGACAGATGGGGCATCGAACTGATGCTGCATCCACTTAGGTAAGTATAATTGGGGGGGGGGGGGGGGGGGGGGGGGGGGGGGGGGGGGGGGGGGGTGGGGGGGGGTGGAGTCCACACTTCTTTTTTTAAGTTTTTAATTTTATATATATTTTCATTTTCTGTCCAATTTTTGTGTGTTACTTTCAATAAAAGTTATTTTATGTTACTGGATTGTATTTTTTTAAATTCATATTCAGTTAAATTCATTATATTAATTAAAAAGTCAAACGTAATACAATTTTTTATATATATATATATATTATATATATATATATATATATATATATATATATATAAATATATATATATATATATAAATAAAAAAGTATAAATAACTTTTTTTTGAAGAACTGCCCAATTCCGTTTCGGTATTTCATTCTGAAATTTCGGTCCAGAATTTTCATTACGGTGCACCCCTAGTACTAAAGTTATTTGTACACACTTCTCAATATATTTTCTTATTTTTGTGTTTTAGCCTGTGACCTCAAGCTGTTACCCTGTGTGAGTAAACATGTAATGCCTTACTGTCTTCAACTGTTGGTGGCTAGTGTCAAGGTGAGTTCACCACATATGTAAAAACACAAAGTACTGAACAGCACAAATGGTAGATGCTCTCCCTCTTTGACTATCAATAGTGGAAGCTACAATTTTAAATACAATTCTTGGGTTGCTACGGACCAGCTTTAAAATGGCGGTAATAAAAATCTTTAAATTTTTAAAAAATATTTTTTCATCGTTGTTCTTTTTATTGGAATTGTTTTTAAATGAGTATGGACAAATAGTAAAACATATAAATGTGGTGCTGCAAATAACAAAAAACAATTATTAAAATTAGTACAAACACATAAAGTGAATAAAGAGTCCACACATGAGAAGTCCACATATGTGAATGAAATATGAAAAAGAATAAGCCCCTTTAAGGAACGTCTATGTTGTCATAAATACTAAAGCTGGTCAAGAAGATGAAGGAAATCCACCATCACCTAGGTGAGCACAGACAAACACATGTGAAAGGGATCAGGAACAGCACTGCAGCAAGGAGCTGTCTTTCTCTGTTCAATCTATGATGTTAAAGTTTGGAGCTCTACCAGTGTCCGGATCATAGGGTGCTTCCATTCATCTAATATTGGGGGCCAGTTTGATCCTTTGACGGTATTAAGCATTCAGATCCGTGGCATACGTTTGGATTCTATATTGTGCAATTTGACCCAACCTTAATTGGGGGTCAAGTTTATCTGGTAAGAGGCAGAATTTTTCAGGTGTTGGTGATGGTGGATTTCCTTCATCTTCTTGACCAGATTTGAAGTACTTATGACAACATAGATGTTCCTTAAAGGGGCTTATTCTGTTTCATAATTCCTCCATATACAGTCATGGCCGAAATTGTTGGCACCCTTGATATTTTTCCTGAAAATCAAGTATTTCACACAAAAAAGGTATTGCATTAACACATGTCACATGTTTATTCCCTTTGTATGTATTGGAACAAATATATAAACAGAGGCAGAAAAGCAAATATGACATAATGTCACACAAAACCCCAAAAATGGGCTGGACAAAAGTATTGGCACCCTTAACTTAATATTTTGGTTGCACACCCTTTGGAAAAACATAACTGAAATCAGTCGCTTCCTTAACCATCATAAGCTTCTGACACCTCTCACCGGAATTTTGGACCACTCTTCCTTTGCAAAAGCTCCAGGTCTCTCTTATTGAAGGACAACCTTTTCCCAACAGCAATTTTAAGATCTCTCCACAGGTGTTCAATGGGATTTAGATCTGGGCTCATTGCTGGCCACTTCAGAACTCTCCAGCGCTTCTTTGCCATCCATTTCTGAGTGCTTTTTGACGTATGTTTGGGGTCATTGTCCTGCTGGAAGACCCAGGATCTTGGACGCAACCCAGCTTTCTGACACTGGGCCTACAGTGCGACCCAAAATCCTTTTTGGTAATCCTCAGATTTCATGATGCCTTCACACAGTCAAGGCACCCAGTGCCAGAGGCAGCAAAACAACCCCAAAACTCATTGAACCTCCACCATATTTTACCGTAGGTACTGTGTTTTGTTCTTTGTAGGCCTCATTCCGTTTTCGGTAAACAGTAGAATGATGTGCTTTACCGAAAAGCTCTATCTTGGTCTCATCTGTCCACAGGACGTTTTCCCAGAAGGCTTTTGGCTTACTCAAGTACATTTTGCAAACTGTAGTCTTGCTTTTTTTATGTCTCTGTGTCAGCAGTGGGGTCCTCCTGGGTCTCCTGCCATAGCGTTTCATTTCATTTAAAATGTCGACGGATTAGTTCGCGCTGACATGATGCTCCCTGAGCCTGCAGGACAGCTTGAATGTCTTTGGAACATGTTTGGGGGCTGCTTATATCACCATCCGGACTATTCTGCGTTGCAATCTTTCATCAATTTTCCTCATCCGTCCACGACCAGGAGATTAGCTACAGTGCCATGGGTTGCAAAACTTTCTTGATAATGTTGCGCACTGTGGAACATAGGCAAATCTAGTTCTCTGGAGATGGACTTGTAACTTGAGATTGTTGATTATTTTGCCACAATTTTGGTTCTCAGGTCCTCAGACAGTTCTCGTCTCCTCTTTCTGTTGTCCATGCTTAGTGTGGCACAGACAGACACACAATGCAAAGGTTTAGTGAACGTCTCTCCTTTTTATCTGCTTTCAGGTGTGATTTCTATATTGCCCACACCTGTTACTTGCCCCAGGTGAGTTTACAGGAGCATCACATGCTTGTAACATTCTTATTTATCCGCAGTTGTGAAAGGGTGCCAATACTTTTGTCCAGCCCATTTTTGAAGTGTGACATTATGTCGAATTTGCTTTCTTTCTTTTTTTGTTTTGTCCCAATACACACAAAGGGAATAAACATGTGTATAGCAAAACATGTGTTAATGCAATACGTTTCGTGAGAAATACATGATTTTCAGGAAAAATATCAAGGGTGCCAACAATTTCGGCCATGACTGTATGTGGACTTCTCATGTGTGGACTCTTTATTCACTTTATGTGTTTGTACCAATTTTAATATTTTTTTTGGTTATTTGTAGTGCCGCATTTGTATGTTTTATTATTTGATATATTGTTGCCTGCAAAATTAAGGTGGCTGCTTATTCTATATTGATTGTCCTATTATCAGGGGGTTTTATATATATTATAGTGCTGGATTTTATATTACATTTTTTCTATGGACAAATAGTGCCTAACAGAAAAAAAAATTAACCAATATGATAAGCTATTAAGGCATATTACTGTAAATATTAATTTAAACTGTATTCATATCTAAAACTGTTTTTGTTTTAGATAGAATGTAGAAGATTAGAATGTCTTGTCTGTTTTTCATCAAGAAGGTTTTAATAAACAAATTCATTCCGCTTTAAGATAATTTGTTTAATAAAACTGAATACACTGGGGGTGGTCCCAGCAAACTTCTGGGGTCCAAATCTACCACCTCACATACCATGAAAGCGCAGCAGCTAGTGCTGACAGCCACGCCAGGCATCCAAAGCAGGAGCCACTTTTGCAGTCTGTCAGTTCAGAGCAAGGGAGGCTGCTCCTGCCCGGCTCCAGACACATGACCCAGCTGAGGAACGACTTCCATTACTCTAAACTGCTCTAATATGGTAAGTATGTTTTATGGAAGGCAAGAGCTGTATTGGGGGGACTGCATTGGACATCATGACACTAAGCAACAGGCCTCCGCCGCAGCATAGGGAAGTGCTGTCTTCCAGCGAAGTAGAGGATTGGCTAAGGATTAGTGCATTTACTCTCCCCTAGAATAAACTAACTGTTATCCCTTGCGTGGGGCTGCATTTTCAGATTTCCCAGAGTTGAACTGTAGGTTTCTCTGACCCCTGTGCTCTGTGCGATATGTGCCCAATATTTAAGCCTCTCCATGGATATTTGCCCAATACATTACCTACCTTATTCATAAAATATAAGGTTGCACTGAGTAAATACAATAAATATGTCAAGCCTTTAAATTGAATGTGCCCGTAAAGTGACAACAAACTATGGTACCTGAAATTGTCCATAGGTGACGTTTAAAAGCTTTTACAGTTTAGTAGTATAGAGTTAACAATGACTGATGAAGATTTATTGCTCTCATCCAGACATTGGAACAATATGCAACGTGTAGCGCAATCATCGTTTTTTGTACATGGGTATGTTGGGGAGGGGGAGTTTTAAAAACATTTTATTTTGAAACTTGACTTTACTGCTGTCACATAGGGTGCCTGTAGCCAATATCCCTTGATGTTGGGCAGGGAAGATGGGTGTTGTATATGGCGGGCTGTGTTCGTAATCAGGGCATTACTGGCTAAACAAATTTAAACACAAGTCCTGGCTGCTATATCAGTATGTTGAAAATCCTGTTCTACCTGCGCTGTTAAAACCGGTCATATTCTTGTATTTAATAAATAATATGATTATATGTATTTGTGTATATTTTTCAGGGTGTTCAATATTGGCTTTTTGTATTTTTTTTTTTCTTAGCTCAGAGCATTTTCTGATAATCGGGATGACATGGCTCTGGGGCACCTTATTGTGTTACTGCAGCATGATTGGCCCAAAGGAGAGGTCCTATTCTTAAAAGCCATAGGGAAGATATGTCTGCAAGGAAATTTTCAGTATGAAAACTTCTTCAACTACATCACAAGTATCCTTTTACTAATGTACTTATGTAATAGCTGCTAGCTTGATTGCTAGCTAGAGTAATTGCTAACTCAGCAATTTCCTCAAACAGGTCTTACAGTAATACCCAGACAACTAGCAGCCATTTTGACTTATGGCATATATACTGTTCTATAGTGGACATTTTATTTATTTTTTTATATTTTAGAAGGGAGACGTAATGGTCAAAGTAATTTCTTAGCATCATGAAAATGTCATTCAGACGACTTTTATGAATTGTAAGTGAATACAGTATGTGTGGATTAGGTGAATAAATTGAAATATAAATAATCCCTTGATCTATAAGATGCTGCCTCACACTTGTGCATATTTGTGCAGGTAAATGCATGATATCTGAGCCATTAATCAATGTCACTGGGACTGCATGAAGAAAATTGTGTGTTGAGTGCAATTCAAAGGACTACAATGGCAAAGATCTGCTCATGCATTTTGCATATTGGTTAACATGCATTTAACCAAACTTAGTGTATCTAGTCGTCTTTCTTCTTGGTTGTAGAACACTATCGAACATCAGCTCTGCAGAAAGGGATCCGATAGGTGATTGCATTCACATGTGTATATTCACTGCATTTGGGTAGAGGATTACTAGTAGTAATCGATGGGGATCTTTGCTTATAATCCAAACTGTATGCCCACTCATTCCACTTAGTAATGACCTCGTGCTAAGACTACAGTTCACTGTATGCACAATTATTAGGCAAGTTGTATTTTTGAGGATTCATTTCATTATTGAACAATTACAGTGCTCTCCGTCAATCCAAAATGTTAATAAACCTCAAACTGAGAAAGTAAAAGTGAGGTTTTGGCTTTTGTAGCAGAATATCTATGTGTGCACAATTATTGGGCAACTGTTAAGTGTATAATTATTATGCAACTAACTGAAAAATGAAAATTTTCCCATCTCACTTGTTTTTTTCATGTCTTGTTTTGAGTGACAACTCAAAATTTACATAAATCTGTTGAAAGAATCTGTTAAAGTAGAAATTGTTTTTAAGATGTTATTATTTTTTATTAGGATCATCTGTGAGCAATCAGTATAGAAAGTATTGTTGCCCAGAGTTAGAATTTTGTAAAATTATTTCGAATTTTATAAATGCTTATCATTGAGAAAGAGAGCTCTTATTGCTAGCAGCCTTTCCTCTAGATTCACATTAACACGGTACCAGTTAAACAGTTGGCATGCAGATAAAAAAGGAAAATTTAGAGCATGTTTTACTAAATGTTCTTTTTTTTTTTTTTAAACTTTTTTTTCTTTTAAAGACAGTACTAAACTGCACAAAAATGTTTTCCTTAATATCTTCAGATATTGATATGCTTGAGGAATTTGCATATTTAAGAACACAGGAAGGGGGTAAGATTCATTTAGAACTAATCCCCAATCAAGGAGTATTACTTAAGTAAGTATTTACTTTCTATTGTTGATGGTACATCTTTAGACTACTGCTTGTTAGTATTGTATCCGTTATCCTTTAGTAAATACAGTTCCAAATCCACATTTCCCTACAGTGCTATACATGTGTTAAACATGTTGGGTAGAGTGCAGAGTAACATGGAGTAGTGAATGAATTTAGGCCAATGTAATTTAAATGAATCAAGCTAATAAAGTGCAAACATGAATAAATGTATGTTTGAACACTGACTAATGAGAAAAAGGTATCAAAGGTCATTATATTCTGAACTGTATATCAAATAAAATGGCTTTAATGGAATTTTTATTTAATCCTTATATTTGCAATGGAAGCCTTTGGGCATATACCTATGCTATAATACGAGCAAGGGGGTAAAGGATAAATTCAGCTTTGGTAACATGTTACATCCAAATTTAGGGTGTCACATGATACCAAAGAGCACCTGCTTGCTCCCCTCCAATCCCCCACTGTGACAGCGGGTGGGGAAATTTTTTTCCCTGCACCTGCTGTCACAATTTAAAAAGAGCGTGGCTGTGCAGGGCTCCTTCCATATGGCTGCATCATTCATTCACAGGGTTCTGCGAATGAATGAACAACTACCATCTGTCATTGCGATACATGCTTGTAGTTCTCACTAAATTGCGAGGGCGCTGGTGAGCGGTCATTGATCTTCCTGCTCTCCAGTAACTCTCTGCCCAAACAGGAGGTACAGGCAGACAGCTGTACTGAGATTCTGTGGAAGCCTGACATTGCACCTGTGATCTGTTGATTGCTGGTGCAAAGCTCTGCAGGCTTCAGGAAAAGAAAATTAAATGCACATTTTTTTTTTTCCCTGCAAAAAAATGTGCATTTAATATTTTTTTTTTGTGAACTTAGGCTTTAATATAAGCTAAGTTATTGCATATTGCAGGGAAGCTTTCTAAGTAGCTTTTGCTGTAAAATGTGGACTTGTGACTGTTCATATTTTATAATGGATGGGGTTGATATATAATTTGTATAATCAACTGAAGTTGTATCATTTACTTTTGTTTGATTATATTTATGTAGTTAAGGTTGAAAAAGACCCTTGTCCATAACATTTAACCTGTTACTAACTCTTGAGAGTTTGGTCCAGACCAGAAACTTATTGGCACCTGTGACCAATTTTGCCTCTCAAGTTGGGGAAAGAAATTGTCATGTACAGTTTTCTGGATAAAAAACTGTGCTATCTGTAGGGTAGCATCAGTGTTACCTGAATTAGCCAATTTTTTTTTTTTTAATTGGTGCCATTATTCCCTCTGGTATCCAACTGTGTTTTAAGACATTCCACAACTTTAAGCGATTCTAAAGGTCAATTTTTAAAAATGTTTTTGTTTTTTTTTTTTTAAATAACAATCATGTCTATACTTACTGTGTGCTGCGGTTTTTGCACAGAGTAGCCTGGATCCTTCTCTTCTCCAATCCCCCACAGGCTCTCCTGGCCCCTCCCTTCTGTTGGGTGCCCCCACAGCAAGCAGCTTTGTATGGGGGCACCGTGGCTTGACCCTGCCCCCTCTCTCTTCTCATTGGCTGACTTGCTGTGATTGACAGAAACGGGAGCCAATGGCTTCCGTTTGCTGTCTCAGCCAATGTGGAGGCAGAGACCCAAGACTTCGTTGGATCGTGATGTGGCTCAGGTAAGTATGGAGGGGGCTGGGGGCACTGCTGCACACAGAAGGTTTTTTACCTTCATTTATAGAATGCATGAAGGTAAAAAAACCTTCATCCTTTACAACCACTTTAATTACTTTTCTGTAAAACCCGCTCCCATACCAGTGATAAAATCACCTTTCCTTCACATGCAACTGATGTTCCCTTGAACTTTTATTCCCAAGGACTGTACAAAGGACATTTGCTAAACCTTTATGTTGTCCTTTATATTTGTGCATGATATAATTACAATCTAGTTTAGGCGGAGCTCCACCCAAAAGGGGAGGTTCTCTTTAAGGACTGCTCCCTGTTAAGGATTGGCACCTTGGGGGAGGGGGTACCCGAAATTGACAGGTACCCTCTCCCATTTCCACTGCGATCGCCTAGGCGATCGGAAACGAAAGTTGACCTCCAACCTCCCCCCCTCCCCATAGTCTTCTGGGACACGTGACAGGCCCCAGAAGACTATGGGACCATTCAGAAAGCGCAGCACTACTCACGCATGCGCAGTGGGCACCCGACTGTGTAGCCACTAGATGTTACAGCCAGGTGCCCACACTGAAGATGCCAACACCGGGAACACAGGACAGCTAGTGAAACGGGCTGTGGGGGGGGATAGGTGAGTGGCTAATTTTTAAAAATCAGCAGCTACAGTTTTTGTAACTGCTGACTTTTATTTTCTTACATTTTCACTGGAACTCCACTTTAAATCACATCAAAGTCACCTGTTTTCCCAACCTGAACAATCTCAGTTTTTCTGACCATTTGTTAAATGAGACCTCAGTTTATTAATTTGATGTCCCACCATTTTCCCTTTCCAAATCCTCTATCTTCCTATTATATATGGTTCTTAAACCTTATTTTATGTGTGACATTGCAAGTGGTTTATAGTGATCTCTAAGAATCCTTTTATGGAATAGCATGATAACAAAAATATTCTAAAAAAAAAAAAAGTTTTTTTGTTGTGCTAAATAAACTCGGGGTAAATATGTCTTTATTTTAGTTTATCTTGAGAGCACATTAAAAATCTCCCTAAATTACTTTTACATATCATAAGCCAGGTTCTGTGACTTGTTATTCACACCTGACTTCACAACTTTAATTTTACTGTTTGCACTTGAAATGTAGTGCAGCGCTGAGATCTGCTGCCTCTCTGCTTTGCTTGAGGTGTGAGCTGTATCTGAAACGGCTTGTCTGACTTCTCAACTATAGAGTCAGTGGGTATTGATGTAATGAATGTTTACAACCTCAAATTGTATGTATGATATTTTCAATTATTTGGGTCCCACTGCAAAATAAACTTTTTTTAAACTGTAAGTTCATCTTTAAAAAAAAAAAAAAAATTATGAATGCATATCTTTTTTGCATGTAAAAAATGGGCATTATTTTTTTTATTAGGAGTCCGTAAATCATTGCACCCACAGTCAGCAGATTGTGGGTGCAATCTCAGGCTACTCCAGACTGTGATTGCAGCTTTCTGCCTGTACTTTGTATGGGCAGGCAGTTACTGAATTGTTGGAAGCATCAATGAACTACTTAGAGCACTTATCAGCGCCCTGGTAGTTCATTGAGAACTACAAGTTGTCAGCCGCAATGGCTGATGGTAACTGTAGTTCTCCCATCACAGATCTCTGTGAATGAATGGCATGGCCACGTTTTGAAAAAATTGTGACAGTGGGTGCAGGGAAAAGATCCCCGGCCTGCTGTCACAGCGGGGGATCGGGGGGGAATGTTGGTCTGCTGCGTCAGTAACATGTTACACCCTGAATATGGGTGTAACATGTTAGGGAAGGTGAACTTCTTCAGTTGAAGTGGAAAATGGCTTCTGCTTTAGTATTTATAATCCCCATGGAAGCAAATACATTTTGTTGACTTTTTCAGTTTTTGTTGAGCTTTTCAGTACTTTGTAACTAAAAAGATATATGTCACAACCTAGGCAAATAAAACAGATCATTTTCAGTGAAAACCGCATGTCAAATTGATGACTGGGCTAAAAGTGAACCAATTCCCCCATCCACGCATTCTGAGGTCGATGCTGGAATCCTTCCTGCTATGTCATTGTATTCTGACAGTGGAGGGGTCAGCTGGACTCCTCCGCTGTTAAAATACACTGATCACTAGGTTGCAGTGCTGATCGAACTAAAGTTTTCCAGCAAGCCAGTTCATGAGCAGTCAATTAGTGGATTGACTGCTCTCGAAAAAGACAGGCCATTGATGGATCAAAATTTGCGCGGTCCCTATTGAAACTGGCCGAATTTGGATCCATCTATGGCCAGCTATAGAGATATAGGCTACTGAAGATATGTTAAAGCAGCCCATTCAAATAAACAAGCTGGCAATGCACCAGAATGGACAAAATCAGAAATGCAGCATTTTTGCTGACGCGCCACAGCACATAGCAGTGCATTTATTGTGGTGCACTGCCTTGTACAGTTGTGTCCAAAATTATTCAACCCCCAATGCTGTAAAGGGGTTTAGGGACTATAGTGTACATTTGGAATTGTATTCAGAATCAAATCCTACAAGGACGTTGTAACTACCCAAATGCAACTAAAATGACATCAATTGTTTATGTAATACAGTAGTAAATGGTTCTTATGTGGTTTCTTCATTGCCACAATTATTCAACCCCTTAAAGACTACCACTCTGAAGAACAGAGGTTCATACAGGTGCTTTCCATCAGGTATTGAAAACACCTGTGGATGTCACCGAGCAGCAATCAAGCATAATAAGCACCAATTAGGCAGCTTTAAAAATGACTGTGATACTCAGCTCCTTCTAGACATTTACTGGTGTGGTTACAAACATGGTGAAGGCAAGAGAATGGTCCAGGAAGACAAGAGAAGAGGTGATTTCTCTTCACAGGAAGGGCAATGGCTATAAGAAGATTGCAAAGATGTTAAACATACCAAGAGACACCTTAGGAAGCATCAATTTCGCAAATTCAAGGCAAAGGGCACTGTTGAAACGCTACCTGGTCGTGGCAGAAAGAAGATGCTGACTTCGACTGCTGTGCGCTACCTGAAGCGTAGAGTGGAGAGAAGTCCCCGTGTGACTGCTGAGGAACTGAGAAAAGATTTGTCAGATGTGGGTACAGAAGTTTCAGCCCAGACAATAAGACGCACACTGCGTAATGAAGGCCTCCGTGCCAGAACTCCCAGGCGTACCCCCTTGCTGTCTCCAAAGAATAAGAAGAGTCGACTGCAGTATGCCAAAAGCCATGTGGACAAACCACAAAAGTTGTGGGATAGTGTTCTGTGGACTGATGAAACAAAATTAGAACTGTTTGGGCCCATGGATCAACGCTATGTTTGGAGGAGGAAGAACAAGGCCTATGATGAAAAGAACACCTTGCCTACTGTGAAGCATGGTGGAGGGTCAATCATGCTTTGGGGCTGTTTTGCTTCTGCAGGTACAGGGAAGCTTCAGCGTGTGCAAGGTACCATGAATTCTCTTCAGTACCAGGAGATATTGGATGGAAACGTGATGCAGTCCGTCACACACCTGAGGCTTGGGAGACGTTGGACCTTTCAACAGGACAATGATCCCAAGCATACCTCCAAGTCCACTAGAGCATGGTTGCAGAGGAAAGGCTGGAACATTTTGGAGTGGCCATCGCAGTCACCAGACTTAAATCCGATTGAGAACCTCTGGTGGGACTTAAAGAAAGCAGTTTTGCAGTGCGCAAGCCTAAGAATGTGACTGAACTGGAGGCCTTTGCCCATGAAGAATGGGCGAAGATACCCGTAGATCGCTGCAAGACACTTGTGTCAAGCTATGCTTCACGTTTAAAAGCTGTTATAACTGTAAAAGGATGCTGTACTAAGTACTAAGATTGAATGTCACTTGGGGTTGAATAAAACTGATAATGCTGTGAGCACAGAAAAGACATTTGTGGTTATTTCATTATAACTGTTATGTTATATTTGTCTGACCTACAAAGTGCCTCTTTAATGTAAATGTAAGCAAGATGACTGAATGATCAAAAGCAATGTCAAACTGGCCAAAACACTCAATTTCAGTGGGGGTTGAATAATTTTGGACACAACTGTATGTATGTCAGAGGTGCATTTGGTTAATGCATTGGGCTGCCATTGATCTGAAATGGGACAACAATGTACTAACATGCATTACCACAACTCTGAAAGGCATGATGATGCCCTTAGGCTAGATTCACACACCTTTCTGCCCCAGTGCATTGTGAAAATGCATGTCGTGCTGTGGGAGCCTAGTCAAATAAATGGGCTGCCACCGCATCAGAATTTCTTGAACAAAAAAGGGACAATGGTGTCTTTTGGCACACTGCAAAACAGGTGCGTTGTGGGTGCTGTTTAGAATCCGCGCTTTACCTGTAATGTGCAAGTGTGAATACAGCCTTGGTTCACACCTACAGATGTGAGCGAGCACAGGCGTGTTGGGCAGCCTGTGTATTTTAATGGGCTGCCATGTGCACGAGAAACATGGAAAAGTCCCTGACTCTTCCCAGAATGCACCAGACTGAACTGCAGGGTGCTATGTCACCATGCAGTTTGCTGCACGCATTTGTAGATGTATAGGACTGCCTTTAACAATTAATGGCACTGCCTTGTATCTGCTAAATGGCATCGCGTTTCTCTGCATTCAGGAAAGCATGTGACTCTGTGCATCCTTGACACGCAAAAGGTCTGAACCTAGCCTTAATCTTGACACCTTATCTTGAAGTCGAGCAAAGCTGTTCCTTAGGCTGGCCATACATTATACAATTTCCTTGAGAAATTTGCTTTAGATTTACCAAAAACCATATAATATGAGGTCAAACTTAAACAACACTTTCAATTGTATCCAATTAGGCAGGCCCTTGAACTACATAGTTGAAGGTAAATCTAAAGGAAATTGGACAGAAAATTGTATAGTGTATGGCCAGCCTTACAGCCTATTGAAGCTTTCTTTTGGTCAGTGAGGGTACCGAACACATTAGACCAGTAGGGAGGGCTCGGGGTGGGCCCCAGCACATATTTTAAAGGAAAGGCAAAATTCTGTATACAGCTTCAGATGTATCTGGATCGACTGGTTGTTTTTACCTGGGGTTTTCCCTGAAGATAACCTGTTTTGTGTGGGGGTTTTTTCATCGTATGCTTAATTTGATTTCACCTGATTTGTGACTGGTTTACTTTTAAGGAATAATATGTGCTCTTCCATTTGTATTATGAAACATGTTCCAGTGTGATGTGTTTTGGCAGCTGAGGGATTTGAATGTTACCGTTTACTGTTTTGAAGGAGCTCTAGCACTACCCTGGGGCTGCTGCAGCAGGAATTCATACCTGTCCTACAGGCCAGCCTAGCAACCAGTGACAGGTACCAAGTCCACAAAGCCTGCTCATGATGTGCTGTGTCCGTCAACATTTTTAATCACAGCCCCATAGTTTTTGATGTTTGTTGTACAGCATTTTGCCCATATATATATATTTCCATTTTATTTTCTTGTTCTTCATTTTGAGTGTAATATTGTGACATTCAGCATTCTTCCCCATGAGCCACCGGTAATTTTGTTTCCAACTGGCAGCACTCTTACATCACATAAAACAATGAGACTCATACAGTATCTTTTAGAAAACAAATTCCCCACTTTGTACATGTTTGTAAATGCATGCAGTTCTTACATGAATTGTTTCATATCACATCTGCATGCAGCAGAAGGTATGCTTCTATTTGACCGATCCATTGACTTGTATTACACTCTGTTATTAGACCAGAAGTGAATGTGGGTCACACATATATAAAGTATTGTAAACTGTTTTTGCCAGAGCAGTTCTTACACTACAGATATGTATAAAGGATTTTATGACACTTCATAGGTACATGGGCTATCTTATGGCAGCCAAGGGACACACTACTCAGAAATAGCATTACTTATTAAAAAGAATGGTATTTGTTGCCCAATGGAAAACATTCAGGTCAGCTTCATGTTTGTGCATAGATTTGAATACAATCGGTTTCTGTACAGGTAGTTTAATAAAAAAAAACACAGTAGGGCCTATGTATCTGTCTCTTCTTACTGAGAAATGGAGTTTCCTTCCCTTTTGCTCCCATGAATGTTGGCACCTGATTGGTGGCTGTGAAAAATAACTTCAGTTCTTTGTAAAAGTCCTCTGGGACTGGGGGCCCTATGGAACCGCTCCCATTTTTAGCGTATCTAGGTGACTTAGTAGATATAGTAAGTTGTGATGCCAATACATACAGTGGATATAAGAATTCCACACACCCCTGAAAAAAATGCCAGGTTTTTGAAATAAAAAAACATTTTTAATCTGATTTATTTTGGCATGATTTTTTTTACAACTCCTTTAATGTGACTTATAGTATGTACAATTCAATTAAAAAACAAACTGACATTGTTTAGTGGTGGAAAAAAATAAAATAATGTGGGTTGCATAGATGCACACCCTCGTATAATTAGGGAGGTGGCTGTATTCAGAATTAAACAATCACATTCAGGGGCGGACTGACAACTCATGGGGCCCTCGGGCAATAGGGGATCATGGGGCCCCTGTGTCTTCGCCCACACCCAAAAAAGCCTATGAAAAAGCCAATGAAAGGTACCAGGGGCATCTCATGGGGCCCCCTACTGACCCCGGGCCCTTGGGCAGTGCCCGAGTGCTCGAATGGTCAGTCCGCCCCTGATCACATTCAAACTGATGTTAAGTAGTAGTTAATACACACCTGCCATCAACGGAAGTGACTGTTTATTAAGCCCATATAAAGTTTGGCTGTTCTAGTTGGATTTTTCTGACATTTACTCAGCTGCCTCTTACAGCAAAAGTCATGATCCACAAAGAGCTTAGAAATGATCAGAAGGATCTCATTGCGGGATGGTACAAGTCAGGAGAAGGTACAAAACATTTTGATTGAATTAGATTTACCATGGGACACAGTGAGGATGGTCATCAACAGGTGGAGAAAATATGGCACAACAGTGACATTACCAAGAACCGGATGTTCCCCGAAAATTGATTTAAAAAGATGAAACTGGTCCAGGAGGCTGCCATGAGACCTACATCAACTTTAATGGAGCTGCAGGAGCTTCTTGCTAGTGCTGGTTGTGTTCTAAATGTGATGACCATCTCCCATATTTTTGTTTGTCTGGGATAAGGTGGCAAGACAGAAGCCTTTTCTTACTAAGAAAACATCCCAAGTCTGGCTACATTTTGTAAAAACCTACATCAAGTCTGGCGAAAGCATGTTATGGCATGATGAGTTCAAGGTAGAACTATTTGGCCATAATTCCAAAAAGTATGTTTGGGACAAAACTAAGACTGTGCATCACCAACAAAAACACCATACCTACAGTGAAGCATGGTGGTGGCAGCATCATGCTTTGGGGCTATTTTTCTTCGCTGGATCTGGGTTTTAGTCAAGGTGGAGGGGGGTGGAGGGACTTATGAACACTTACAAATATCAATCAATTTTGATACAAAACCTTCAGGCCTTTGTTAAAAAGCTGAAATGAAGAGCAATTTCACCTTTCAGTATGATGACCCAAACAACTACTTTTCATCCTGACAGCAACCCAAAGCATACCTCCAAATCAACAAAAAAATTGCTTTATCAGAAGAAGATCAAAGTTTTGGAATGACTCAGACATGAATCCAGTTGAAAATCTGTGGGGTGACCTGAAGAGGGCTGTGCCGGAGATGCCTTGACAGATTTGGAGCACTTTTGCAAGGAAGAGTAGGCAAATATTCCCAAGGAAAGATGTGCCTTAACAAAGTTTTAGGTGCTTCAGCAAAGCATTAGTTTAGGGGTGTGTATTTGTGTGACCATATTATTGTTTTGTTTGTATCTCCCTTCATTTTGCTTTTAGCTGAATTGCACGTTATATTCCACATGCGAGTCTATGCACATTGGTCATAAAAAATGCTGCTTATACAGCCATTTTGCTTTTTATTTTTTTTTCTTGGTTTATTTCATCAGGGAATGTTTTGGAAAAAAAACACTTAAAAAAGCAAATGCTCATAAACTCGTGTACAGTACGAGTTACTATGATTTTTTCTGCCAGAGGTTCTGGCATTTTTTTTGTCTCTAGTGTGCATGTGGGAAAAAATTCAGAAGTGATTTATCTTGGTTTCCTTTTTTTATTTTTTACATTTCAGAAACCTGACATTTTTACAGGGGTGCATACTTTTTATATCCACTGTATGTAATCCCAGGAGATCCATAGATTACTGTGTTTAGCACAGGTTATTTACCAACATTTTTATAGTCAAAGGAAATGTTTTCTAATTTATTACCCATCTACAGCCTTATTCTATATCATAAGTGCAAATACCTATAGGTAACTGATCAGAGCCCGCTCGGCTGGTCAGACCAGTGCAAGTAGCATTTTGCTTGGTTCCTGTAGGGTACAAATTAGTTAAAAACTGACCGTTTATACAATGAGGGTCAAAATGCTCATGATTCTGTTGCTGGTGGCAATTTGCCTGCTCCTGCAGGCTTGTTCCTTCACTGTCAGTGATGGAATGAAACTTTACTGCCCTTCTTTCTTAGCAATTCTGTCAGTGGTGGGTTGTTATTAGCATGACATGGCCCTAAGGCAGCAACAGTGCATTTATTAGCAGTTAATGTCACATTTACATGGGTGGGTTTATCATTGTGATTCACCCACTGATTGGGGGAGGATTGGTGTAGAAAACTTTGAAGTAGGAGATGGAATGGAAATGTACCGGGAAATATGTAGGTTTCCATTGCTGGTTTTCTGATTCTAAGTCACTTACCCAGAATAAGCATGTAGCAAGTTCAGTTGAAATGCCTGATCTGCATACTTGAGTTAAACTCGGGATCGGCATTTTCAGAAGATGCTAAGAAATGAAAGCATTTATATATTTTGTTATGGGTTTCCCATCTTAAAGTCAAGATGTTAATCTTAGTTGGATGTGTACAAAATAAGGTTCGTGCGTCAAAACCTTGGCTCCAAATGGTAAGGTCACTTCTGGGACATTGGGTTAAGGCTCTGTTCACAACTGTACTACATTTTTGGATCTGTATGTGTTAAAAAAACAAAAAAAGGTCTTGCTTGCCGCATCTTTGATGCACTTTATATAACGTTCAATTGTAAGACATGTTAGATGCACTGCACAGGTGTGAACAGTACCCTAAGACACCAAGGGGCTCATTTTGTAAAGCGCTGCACAAACTTGGCACTATATAAACCCTGTATAATAATAATTCATCAAGCTGTGAATCTGAAATTCAGCAAAAATCTACTGCGGGAGAATTTTCCTAGTACATGAGTGTTAATTCATAGTCTTCATCTGAGAATGTTTGGCAAAGGTCACGTTTATACTTTTTATAAGATAGACCCCCAAAAGATTTTATGGGATTTTTTTCGGTGCCTGGCAGTACCCTTGTATAAGATGCAGTAATGTGTATTACATTGTGCTATGTGGATAAACTCAGAAATTGTTTTCCTCACCAGTCATCTACTGCAGTATTCTATTGCTTGTGTAACTTTATTTTTCTTAGATCTAAAGTAAGCCCTAACAATCTCACGGAATAAAGTGGACAATGTATTACAGGTTCTTATGTATCGAGAACATGTACTGGCTGAGGGGTAGGCTGACTTTGGCATGGTAGAAACTCTGAGATATGCTTTGAAACTGCAGAGGTCAGGTGTTAATTTAGGACTCAATGTATCATCTAAGCAAAAATGCTTTCTCCGACAGGCATCACACAGTGACTCGGGGAATTACGAAAGGAGTAAAGGAAGACTTCAGGCTGGCAATGGAACGACAGGTCTCACGCTGCACTGAAAATCTCATGGTCATCTTACATCGCTTTTGTATCAATGAAAAGATTTTGTTGTTACAGTGTTTGGCTTAAACCCAACTACAAGGCAGGAATTGCTTTAGTAAGACTTCTGCCTAACCTGTGAGGATGCAATATGAATTTCGGTGATTTCCTTTTTTTTTTTTTAAGGCCAACTTAAAACGTTTTTTGGATAGAGTAGGGAGATTCTGTCAAGTTTTTATTGCAAGGATGCAACTCCAGTGTGTAAAGAGGCTCTGTCATTGCCCGCATAGGGGTAGGGAAGATTCTGTCAAGAGGCTCTTTATTGCAAGGGGGATGGGGGAAGAGTGTGTACACAGAGGCTCTGTCACATGCCCGCAGAGGGGGTGGGGGAAGTGTGTGTACACAGAGGCTCTGTCACATGCCCGCAGAGGGGGTGGGGGAAGAGTGTGTACACAGAGGCTCTGTCACATGCCCGCAGAGGGGGGGGGGAGTGTGTGTACACAGAGGCTCTGTCACATGCCCGCAGAGGGGGTGGGGGAAGAGTGTGTGTGTACACAGAGGCTCTGTCACATGCCCGCAGAGGGGGTGGGGGGAGTGTGTGTACACAGAGGCTCTGTCACATGCCCGCAGAGGGGGTGGGGGAAGAGTGTGTACACAGAGGCTCTGTCACATGCCCGCAGAGGGGGGGGGGGGGAGTGTGTGTACACAGAGGCTCTGTCACATGCCCGCAGAGGGGGTGGGGGGAGTGTGTGTACACAGAGGCTCTATCACATGCCCGCAGAGGGGGTGGGGGAAGAGTGTGTACACAGAGGTTCTGTCACATGCCAGCTGTAAATTACATAAAGAGGAACTGTCATCTCATGACATCACCTGGTGTCCCCACTTCTTTGTATTCCTTAGCACTAGGAGAAGTAGAGCTGTCATTTTGCCCTGCTGCTAAAGTAATCAAAGGGGTGGGATCACATGGTGACCCCCCACCCCTTTGTCTACCTTAGCAGCAGGGCAAAATGACAGCTTTGCTTCTGCCTGCACAAATTTAGAGCCCGCAAGTGCCAGCCTCTGTGTGCACACTCCCCCCCCCCACCCCCCCTCTGAAACATTGCCTGCAAGTGACAGCCTCTGTGTGCACACTCCCCCCCCCCCTCTCTGAAACATTGCCTGCAAGTGACAGCCTCTGTGTGCACACTCCCCCCCCCCTCTGAAACATTGCCTGCAAGTGACAGCCTCTGTGTGCACACTCCCCCCCCCTCTCTGAAACATTGCCTGCAAGTGACAGCCTCTGTGTGCACACTCCCCCCCCCCTCTGAAAACATTGCCTGCAAGTGCCAGCCTCTGCCTGCACACTCACCCCCTCTCTGAAAACATTGCCTGCAAGTGCCAGCCTCTGCCTGCACACTCACCCCCCTCTCTGAAAACATTGCCTGCAAGTGCCAGCCTCTGCCTGCACACTCCCCCCTCTCTGAAAACATTGCCTGCAAGTGCCAGCCTCTGCCTGCACACTCACCCCCTCTCTGAAAACATTGCCTGCAAGTGACAGCCTCTGTGTGCACACTTCCCCCCCCCCCCCCCCCCCTCCCTCTGAAAACATTGCCTGCAAGAGACAGCCTCTGTGTGCACACTCCCCCCCCCCCCCCCCCCCCCCCTGAAAACATTGCCTGCAAGAGACAGCCTCTGTGTGCACATTCCCCACACTCTGTACACACCCCTTCTTTTATGTAAACACTGCCTTCCCTCTGTTTACATTCTGCTGTCAGTGGGTTGTTAGGACGCCAGCGGGTGCGAGCACCTAACAACCAATGCGAAAACAGACCAGATTGTTTTGTCCATTTACATCTGTTTAGGTCTGCTTCCATTTTTTAAATGGAATAAAAAATAGGGGCGTATTCCATTTAAAAAAAAAAATGGACATGAATGTATGCTGATGTAAATGGATATAAACAGATGATCATCTGTTTACATCCACTTGCCCCTAGGAGTGCATTGCTGTCCATTTTTCATACATCAATGGATGGATGAAAAACAGACAAACAGCCTGCCCATGTGACAGGGGCCTAAATGTCTTCATAGCTGTTTGTGCCTTCCTGTCCTTAACCCCCATTTCATGTATGAGCATCTCAGGGACAGGAAATGGAAGGGGAAAACAAAAGGTCTAAACAGGTTCACAATGGTAGAAATAAAACAAAAAGTGTTCCCTACTCTATCCAAAACAAAAAAAACAATGGATTTAGCTTAACATAAGCATCATCTTGTTTGTTATTGAACATATTTCCGTGTATTATAATTCTAGATGTATATGATGCTATTTTGTTTTTCTGTCATGTAATGTCAGTGTTGTAAATAGACAAGGCTCCAGGTATTATGCTTGTGTAGCAATGTAAATAGTAATAAACTGCATTTTCACTCTACTTTTGCAGAACATGTCAAGGTTGATGTAATGGTCTTATTTTACTTTTAATAAAGTCTTATGTTCATTTTCAAAGCTTCTGTCCTCTTTGCTTTTGATATAGAAGTGTGTATGTAGAAAAAGTACAATACAATTGTTTTTGGTTAAGAGCTTCAAATGCTGCATTATGATTCGGTCTATTAATCCTAAACCACCTCAACTCCTGGCAGATGCACATCAGTATACAAATGTATGAGTTATGACAAAGTATGTATAGCGTAAATCTTTTTTTCTAGTTTTGTATTGAATGTGGAAGGACTGGAATGATTGTCATGGTTTTAATTGCTATTAAATAGCAAATCACAAAAAGCTTAGGGTATCAGAGAAAATAAATTAAAAACATCAATATTAGCTTTCAAAATATAGACCAACTTGTTTAGAAATTGGAGACCACCATTATTAAAGATCATCATACTAAAGGAATTGAAACACACTTGCTATGTTAGAATCCAGATCCCCATATGTAAGACATTATTCCAGGAGTCCTCAAAAGAATAGTTTTCTGGGTGGAAGGTGTCCCTGGATCCTTGTCAAGAAGTCCATGTGGGAGCCAGGCATATTCACGTGGTTGGTGCTGAGACCTGCCAGCCTATATAGAGAGGTTTTGAACACTGCTTGTTTACCATGAGCCCTCTCTTATCTTCGGTCATGGTGTCTGTATATTGTTTCTGCCTATAGGAGCATGGTTCATTACCAGACTGAAAGCCTGTGTTGCATATAAAGGTCTGGCTAATCATCAGCATTGTCATATTAGAGTCAATTAAACAAGCACAGTTTGACCACATTATATTGGAGCTATTCCACTCTGGTGAGCCTTTACCCCCATCCCTCAAAAGGGGGGGGGGGGGGGGGGGGGTGAAGTTTACAGCATGAGGTCATAGGTTTCTGTGATCTGCACCTGCTGCCCTTTGGATGATCAATTATCTCTTCATTGATTCCTTATACACACTGGGAATTTTTCTATAGTTGTTATATGAATATTACACTATTGTAATTTAATTTTTTGTGGTGGTAAATTAGATTTATTTTTGATGTATACATTCTGTATGTGCACCTTTATTCATTTGCACTATGATCTATTTGTTGGTGTATGGTCAATGGATATTGATCTATTTATTATGCACTTCAGTTGTGTAGAGGTCAAGTTCACTCTTTAGAACCAATATAGTACAGTGCCAAAACAAATTCTTACAAGGACTAGTAGCATATTAATAAAACCGAGTCCAGAAGACTGTTCTCCAACCTCAAATTATGCAGATGATCATACCAGCTAACATGTTTCAGGAAATTGGCCCCCTTCCTCAGAGAAGTGACTGGTGTACCCTCCCCCTTTGGACCCCTTAAAATACAGAACCTTCAGAGTTCACATCCAATCACGGAGGAGAATGTGGAACAAGGGGAAGGATTGGTCTTTGTATGCATGTGACAATATCACAAAAAAAATTATGGGTATATGGCTGTGCAAAAGAGTTCCTTTAGCATTTCTAGTGTTAATACATGGTTGCGTTGCTTTAGCAGCTAATGGATAAAATGTACAAGCTATTGTGAGTGAAGCATAGGTAGGTCTTGTTTTTGTAAATGTCACAAATGTGGCTTGTATGGGAGTATTGCAAGAAACAAAAAAAAATTAAAGCCTCTCCCAAAAAAAAAAAAAAAAAAGGGCCAGATGCAGCCACGACTGAGCTTCACCAGACCCCACATCTTGAAGACTGAAGCAGCATCCAATGAGTTGTGAAGCATTTGGCAGAATATGAGCAGATAATATTGCCCGAAACACTTCAGAATTCATCCTGCTGCTTTTGGCAGCAGTCACACCATCAATAAATACAAGAGAACCAGTTCCATTGGCAGCCATACATGCCCACGCCATGACACTACCACCATGCTTCACTGATGAGGTGGTATGCTTAGGATCATGAGCAGTTCCTTTCCTTCTCCATACTCTTCTCTTCACTCTGGTACAAGTTGATCTTGGTCTCATCTGTCCATAGGATGTTGTTCCAGAACTGTGAAGGCTTTTTTAGAAGTCATTTGGCAAACTCTAATCTGGCCTTCCTGTTTGAGGCTCACCAATGGTTTACATCTTGTGGTGAACCCTCTGTATTCACTCTGTGTCAAAGTCAACAATCAAGAAAAGACTTCACCACACACACACACACACACACACACACACACACACACACACACACACACACCTCCTGGAGAGTGTTGTTGATCTGGCCAGCTGTTGTGAATGGTGTTTTCTTCACCAGGGAAAGAATTCTTTGGTCATCCACCACAGTTTTCCATGGTCTTCTGGTGTTGCTGAGCTCACTGGTGCATTCCTTCTTTTTAAGAATGTTCCAAACAGTTGTTTTAGCTATGCCGAATGTTTTTGCTATCCGATGGGTTTGTTTTGTTTTTTTCAGCCCAATGATGGCTTGCTTCACCGATAGTGACAGCTCTTTGCATTTGGAATCTGTTGCTGTCAACTCTCAAGATGAGATCCAAATAGCACACTTAAAATGAACTCTGGATCTTTTATCTGCTCATTGTGTTTAATTGTGTTTATTCCCTCAAATCACAATTACAAACAAACACACACGGAACAGCTGAGAAGCCAATTGTCCCATTACTTTTGGGACCTTAACAAGTGGGAGGCACATATGCAAACTGTTGTAATTCCTACACCGTTCACCTGATTTGGATGTAAATACCCTCAAATTAAAGCTGACAGTCTGCAGTTAAAGCACATCTTGTTAGTTTCCTTTCAAATCCATTGTGGTGGTGTATAAAGCCAAACATGTTAGAATTGTGTCGATGTCCCAATATTAATGGACCTGACTGTATATCCCAACAGACTAAAAGGTTGTAATTAACTGATTTAAGGGGGGGGGATCACCCCCATGTTTTTTCCTTTTGTTTTTACAGTATAACATACAACCTCTTTTATCCAGCTGTATTTAAAAAAAAAAAAAAAAAAAAAAAAATATATATGAACAAACCTGTGTGCCTTTAGGAGCAACAAAAGTGATTATTTTATTTATTTATTTTTTTTAAACAAAGGGAATGCTTCTTTCCTATGCTCACTGTATGTGCATTGTTCTAGAACCAAGTTTTACAGCAGTGTTCATAAATATACTTCAACTTAGTGATACACAAAATTGTATGTATTAATGAAGTTAATTTTTACCAAGTGATTATGACACTATAGAAAGTGTTGAATGAGTCCATATAATAGTGTCTGAGAATGTGAAAATGTGCATTCTTCCGTTTGTTGTATCTGGTGTAATTCTCAGCTGTCAGGTTTCCAACAGCTTCTTTATTGGTTCAGGGATTTGGTCAGTGCTGTCCCTAGCTAGGATATAAATTTAGTAATGGGATCTTGAGATAAAGCTACAGCAAGATTTCATTAGGGGGAGCAAAGGAGTAGGACTTTGGCCCAGCTTGGACCCTATATGCAAGCAACACCAATGTAACTATGTAAAAATATCTATACCTGAAGTTATGTTTTTCTTCTGTAAGCACAAATTGAGCATAGGAAATCTTTTAAACTGCACATGACCACAAATGCCTGGACCCCCATTTGTGATGTGCTGCTTGTGTGATCCATGGACCCCCATTTGTGATGTGCTGCTTGTGTGATCCATGGACCCCCATTTGTGATGTGCTGCTTGTGTGATCCCCATGAAGCTGGAAATCCCGATATGGCACATGCATACTTAGCATTTAAGTGCATTTCCAGGGTTGGCTTGCATATCTACATGTCAGGAATGCACACAATATCACAAGCTCTCAACATGCAGGGAAACACGCAAGTTCTGTCAGCATATGATTCAGTACAGCATGATTTTACAAGAAGGATCGGGGACTTATTTCCCTGTGTTTCTCATGGGTAGAGCAGCCCATTGTCCTGGAAGCCTGCCCTACCCACAAGATTTCAAAAACACAGGAGTACATATTTGCAGCGCCCAGGGAACTCACGATTGCATAATACATTAAAAAGTTAAAATACATGACCACCACATACTGTAAATAATTCAGGAGAGAGAATTTTTGCGTATGAACTTTACTGAGTATTTTAAAACACATTTGTTTACAAGTACATGTAAATTGACACAATTTAAAAAACAATACAAAAACATAAAAATTCCAGTGATGGAAATAAAAATACACATTGTAAAAGAGTCATGTACAGACTGCATTCATTTGTGCACATGGACTTTAGCTTGAATAAGAGCAAAGTATTTTAAAAGGCTTCCAGAAAGCTGCTTTAGAGCTTTGCAAACAAACTCTTTATCCTTGTTTAAAAATGACAGCACTTACATTAAAAGTTCAACTTTACACCCAGAAACGAAAGCATTAAAGCACTTTTGTTTTTTTGTTTAAGGAAGCTGCTTAATACTTGCAAATGCTTTCTAAAAGCATGCTCTACACATTGATCTTATACAGATTGATTTGGGCTTGTGCGTACAAGGCCTAAGGCTACATTTACATCTGAGATTGAGTACAAAGTGTTAAAAAAAAAAAAGCTGAAACTGATGTGGTTTCCAGCAAAATGCAACTTCCATGGGGATTAATGGTAATGCATGCAAATGCATCCTGCACTGCAGTGGCACCTCATGCAAAACACAGGTGTTAAATGTAGCCTCATGCTAGCCACACATAGTAATGTTTAAAGAATTTCAACAAGCGTTCCATTGCAGAAGCGACCAAACAGATAAAGGCATTGTACCACCAACATTTTTTGTTGAGACCACGAAAGTGGTCATATTTGCCTGAAAACGGTTGTGTATTGCTAGCATTAAAAGAATAAGTTCACCTTTCATATTCAGGGCATAACATTTAATTAAAAAAAAAAGACCTCAACGCTGTGGTAGTTCATTGAGAACTGCAAGCTGACTTGTTAGTAGGGTCTTTGTGTGTGTGTGTGCGTGTGTGCGTGTGTTGATCACTAGTGCAATGCTTTACAGGCTCCTGCAACAGAATATAAAATGCACTTTTTTTACGTGCAAAGGAATATGCATTTATATTTTGTCAAAGGTAAACCTATCCTTTAGGAGATAAATATCCCGTTATTTAGCATATAATACAATTGTGTTTAGAAATTAAATTTATACCAAAAACAGCAGTCCAACATAGTGATGTTGGACCAGATCACTATTTTACATGGCAAATTTTCTAGTAGGGGGTAGTAGAGTAATAGAAAACCAGCAGAGCAAACAGTCATGACATGCATGTGGTTGATTCCTTGAAATGGCTGTTTCAATGAGTCAATGACACCAAAACACCAGTAAGTGAGCAGCACTTTGGTTCCAGACCAACAAGATTAACATTGTGGTGCAGCCAGCCCAATCCCTGGACCTTAAATCCAATAGAAAGAAAAAAAAAAAAAAAAAAAAAAAAAAAAAAAAAAAAAAAAAAAGGTTTCTGGGGTAAAACCAAGAAATGCAGAGAAATTGCAGAATGTAGTGCAGAGCAATTGTGGAATGTAGTGCAATAGTCCTGGGCTGGAATGCCTGTTCACAGGTGCCAGAAGAAATAATTAGTTGTATAACCACAGTTTGAAATGCTTGAAGATTTAACTTTCCTGTAAATCACAGTTTATACAGTAAATGTTTGAGTTTGTAAAGAAAAATTCAGACACTGCTTTTTTTTTTGAACAGCCTAATATTCCTTTCTTCACTTTCTGTAAAAAATACTAATTAAAACATTTTTTCATCATGTTTTTTAAATTTGGAGTAGACTATGCACTTCTCCCAATGCATTTGCATGTATGGAAATAAAAGCCATTAAGGATTTTGAGCTTTATTTTTTTTTTTTAAAAACACTTAATTTTTTAAAGTAAAAAAAGTTACAGGGCATCCTCCAACAGAGCACTTGTGACCAGCTGGATGATCTTGGATCACCGACAGTCAAGCATTGTCAGGCACCAAGCAGATCTGCCTGAACAGTCTGATACCAGGCCCACTAAAAAACTTTGCATCAGTAGAGATCACAAAATAGCCACATGAGGAAGCAATGCCAGTTATCATCATAGGTTATAAAAATTCTTATGCATGCCAAGAGTGAATGGTTTTCAATTTAGGTCATCCTGAATGGTCCATAAAAACTGATCAACAGCTAAAAATCATGAGAAAGACTAACCAGCTGCACATTGCTGGGCACAAATGTTAAAATGGGCAAGAAAAACAAAAATATATTCTATTGCAGCATAGTAGTAGTGTTTGCATTAATTCAACATACATTAGACGTTTGCTTGCTGAGAACACACGGACAAACTTATTAAAAACATTTCCCTTTAACCTCTTCATTAAAGTAGAACTTAATTTTGTAATAAAAAAAAAGCGAGCAGGCAGGATCTTAGCGAGCAGATAGGCAAGTGATTTTATTGCAGAAGATACATTGCATGTCACGTCTGCGATATGCAATGTGTCTTCTGCAATAAAATAAACCACTTGCCTACCTGCTTGCAGTCATCTTCAGAACGTACACCAGGCTATGCATGTACAGCTCAGTTTACATTCTGGCACAGATCCTGTGTGCCAGAATGGCTAAACCTGAGCATGCGCAGGAGTGATGTCATCCCATGCTGGCCCATGAAAAGGGCTGCATTCCGGCACTCAGAAGAAGCTGGGTAGAAGAAGATGCCAGTTATTGACCTTGGACTGTTGAAGGAAAGGTAAATATTATAACTTTAGCTCCGCTTTAGTTACTTTGAGGTAAACCACTTATTTTTAACAGATTGTTTTAGTTTGTGAAGTGCAGGTAGACAGCAAACTTCAGATAGATAGTATAGTCCTTGATGTCCCAAAGAAATGACTCAACTTCCAAAATGTGACTTCCTGTAGATATCACCATATTGTTAGGCTGATGCTACACAAGAGCTCAAATCTTCCAGAATATCTTCTTTTTGTAAAGGATATAGGCAATCAGCACCCAGATGGAAGTGGCAACAAGGTTTTGGGTGAGGTGCTGAGCATGAGACTGGCTGTCTTGCATCTTCCACTTGAAAGGGAAATAATTTTCAAATACTTCATGGCCAACATAAACAAGAATAGAGTTCATTCCTAAAAAAGAAAAAAGAGAAAAGGAATAAAAAAAAAAAAAATTTTTTTTTTAATCACACACCCATAATTCCATCACACACCCATAAATTACTCATCAAGCCATTCCACACTTTGAAAGCATATCAGCCTTGGATCCCACATTGGAAGCATAGATGCTTGTTAAGCCCATGTTGCTAGATCAAGGAGAAAGGCAATATTGCCACTTCCGCAGAGTCCCTCCAGCTGTACAACCAGCCCCTCTCTAAGTTACTCTTGGACGCTAACAGCCCCGCATTGTATGCAATGGCACTAAGGATTCACCCACAGATTGGAGGATACAGGAAGAGACTGCTTTATTTACTTGCTGTGGTCTTCTCCCTAAAGCTCCAGACTGGAAGCACAACTACTAAAGTCTCCACTTTAAAAACTGCATGCAGGCAAGGAGCTCTTTATTGTAGAAGAGACATGCAACATCTCTTCTGCAATAAAATAAACCTATCATTCTGCTCACCTGTCTTCTTTTGAATGTACTTTCACATAAAAAATTCCCTTGGGGTTTCTCAATAGGTTTTTTTAAAAATTGCATATAATGTATTTTTATATTGTTCTTTTGCCATATAAATGCCACTCCTGGCAAAGTAGTTCATCTTTTTTTAAAAATGCAAAAACAAATATACAACTAGCGGGGATTAAATCACAGTACACCCCCATGCAAAGATTTTCTTCACAGGATGTTCCCCAGCTAGAAAATGCCAATGCATTTCAATTTAAATTTTACAAAATCTTCAGTGAAGGGCTTGCCAATAAATTGTATGTTACCAAAGGAGAACTCCACCAAAATCATGCCTCATCTCTGGGGCCAGAAGCCATCAAGGATGGTGTATGCACACACAAGGGGGACTTTGGATATGCCCAAAGCCAGCTCATGGAGACAGCAGCTCATGTAGCATCAAAAGTCCATATAATCTGGAGCCACAGAGACAATCATGTCCTTTAATACTGTCCAGCAAAAAGAAACATGCCCTCTTGGTTGTTGCTGGACAGCATTAAAAATGACAAATTGTCTGTGGCTCCCAGTATTATAAGCAGTAGTTTTTTTGTCAATAGCCTGTAGTGGCTACACCTGTTGGGTTCCATTCACAGCTTTGCTCATTTGCAACAGTGATTATGTCACTGCTAATTTTACCGAGCAATATTTAAAATTTGCAAGTGAATTTGGTGTATAGAAAAGAATCACCCCCTTTAACCACTTGCCCTTCTGTGGATTTACCCCCCTTCCTGACCAGGCCTCTTTTTGCTACTCGGCACTGCACTAATTCAACTGATAATTGCGTGGTCATGCAATGCTGTACCCAAACAAAATTTACATCCTTTTTTTCACACAAATAAAGCTCTTTAGGTGGTATTTGATCACCTGTGCGTTTTATTTCACGCTATAAACTGACTTTGGGTCACCGACATCCCCAGTGACACCAATACAGTGATCAGGGAAAAAAAAAAAAAAAAAAAAAAAAAAAAAAAAAAAACTGAAACTAAATGGCACTGGGGAGGGAGGGGTTAACATTAGGTAAAGAAAGGGTTAACTGAGGGGAGTGTTTTACTAGTGGGTGGGGGGGGGGGGGGGGGGTCTCTCTTGATCACACAGTGTTCCTGTGAAGTAAAGTCTTCTCTCAGGTTCAGCATGCTCCGAACTGACAGATAGCACGACTGCAGTGTTTACATTGCAGCTCTGCTGTCAGTGATTACTTGTCGCCGGCACCCGGCGGGAAATGACCTGCCGGTAGCCGGTGACGGACACCTGCTGCCACGACTGGCAGGATGGGTATGGTGGGTGCGTGCCCCCTACCCATTTTGCACAGCGACATTAAAAGACAGCGCTGTGCGCACAGATGCCGTCCTGCCGCAGTAAAAACACTGCAGTGGGTCAGCAGTTAAAATAATCATTTCGGCTGCAAAGCAACAAAATGTGATGACAGTTTGTTTTATTCACAGCTGGATGTACTATAGTTGCAACTGATACATACAGCAATGAAACAAACACAAACATGTCAGGGAAAAAAAAACAAAAAACCAGGAGGAGGAGGAGGAGCCTGTCTTCATTTCAGGCTGCAAAGCAGCAAAGTGTGATTTTAAAAAAGGGGGGGAAATTCTTTTCCATACCCACTGTATATATAGTGTAACTAGCATGAGGACCTCACTGCTCCAACCCCGTGGTGGGGTTGTCAATGGTGAGAGAACCACCCCCCCATACCATGTGCTCTCCCTTACCCACCCTCTTCTCTCCTTCCTTCGTCTTAGCCCCCTTTACTCCTCTCCACCCTACTACAATCCCCTTGGGCTCCCCCAACACCCGTGTCGTCCCCCCCCCCCCCACACACACTTACCATTACAGTGGCCCGGCTGACTATCCCAAATAGGGCTCTCGGCTAACCTGTCAGGCCCCTCCCCCCCCCCCCCCCCCCCCTTTTTCTGAACTGAGCCTTTTTCAACGCTACTCCATATGAGTGTTTTGCTTTTTTTTTGCAAAATTTCTTTGGGTCCAAAGAAATTTGGGGTTAAAGCAGAGGTATTGAAGGCAGCCCAAGACTCCAGCTCAATATTTGTAGGTATTGCTTTGTTCGCGTTCCTTTGACATGGTGTCCAAGGTTTCAAATTGTGTTGAAGCATTCACTCCCATCTTCTTCGGAAACCAAATAGGAAATGTGTTCACATTTTGATACTTTGTATTCCTACAGGAGATTTCCCTGCATATGTATTCCCTTCCCAATAAATTATGTTATAGAATTATAAAAAAAGGGGTAACGGCAAAACTTTTTAGTTTTGAACGGAGAGGGTTTAGAACACCTGTCAGTTTTCATTGCAGTCTGTGTCCCCAATAGGAAGCTTCACCCTCTATTTGTCCCGTTTATTACTGTTCTGATATCAACCCAAATTCTGGGATCTTTTTACTTTCAATAATGGTAAAGGGGAAATCTTCCAATATAGGGACACTAGTTCAGGATTTCCTCACTAGAGGGAATCCCTCTGACTTCCTGTTTTGCTTATGGGATAGGAAGTGAATGGAAATATCCCTTAGGGCTTGGCTCAAAATTTCAAGTCCTGAGCTACTAGCAAGGCCTTAAGAGTTACTCTCCACCAGTTGCCCCACCCATAAAATCACATCCTTATAAAAATTACACTGTTTAAATGTTTTATGCAGAATAAAAAAAAAAAAAAAAAAAAAAAAAAAAAAAAAAAAAAAAACCCCCCACACATTGGACCAACTACCACCACACAAAACCAACCTTTAGGCTGCACTCATGAATGCTATTGTTGGAGGACAAGAGAAGGAGGAGGAGGGACTCGTACGCTCAGGTCCAGAAGCATTACAGAGCTATCGGCTGCTCTGTATACAATTACCGACCCATCCTCTTCTGAGAAGCTGCCATGGACTGGAGTGTGGGCAGACACAGAGGGAGGCAGAGCAGATCAAGCCTCTCTCCTTTATTGTAGTGGAGTATAGAAGGAGGGGCTGGACACAGGAGCACAGAGAAGAGGAGCAAAGAAAGAAATCCAATTGACAGTGGGGGATGATCGGTGCAGCGGTGGACACAGTTACAACCACCGATCTCCCTGTATGGCTTTCAATGAAGCAGCTGAAAGTGGAAGGAAGGAGGAGAAGCAGCACCGATAATCCTGGACTGTCAATGTCACCTACTGCAGTTTGGACACACCCACCATATTTCCACTCCCCAATGCAAGTTGGAAATTTTGAGCCCTGCCCTAGGGGGCACAGATGGCCCAAAAAAACAACACCTGGACGTGTTATAACCCTCCCTTCCTCTACCCAAAATGAAACCACCACAGCCACCTTTAGGTCTACTTTCAAGAAAGTTTTGAGACTGCAGATCAGTTTTAAGTTTCTATTTTGCTTGCATAGTTCCAGTCCCCACTTACCAGGATAAAAAAATGGGGCACCTTTCCAGTACCGTTTAACATCCACCAAGAAATAAATGATCAGTAACAGGAAGAAAGCAAAGCAGCTGAGGGTTGTCACATAAGAGATGGACCTGTAATTTTAACATTAAAGGGTTAGAAATAAAGGCAAAAAAACACTATAAAAATGTACTGAACAGAATTAAGAAAAATTAAAAAATCATGAAAATGCATAAAACACTAGTTAATTCTACAGTTTTTAAAACCAGCAGATGTGCTGTTCAATTGGGAAATATTGTTCAAGGGTATTAAAATAGTGAGAGCCCAACTGCTGGAAAGAGCATTGAGCTTGTAACATTAGCAAGAAAATAAATGCCTATGGGCAAATGCATCATGATGCAAGGATACCAAAAGAAAGCAAAAAAAAAAAAAAAAAAAAGTGTTTCCTTCCAGTGCATGTTCTGTAAATGCATCCTGTATTACTTTGCCATAGTCACTCCCTTGTTGGCACCTAGATGAGAACATTTGTCTTTTGCACTCTTTTAGGGAATAGACTGAACTCCATGCAAAAATTAAGTGCACATTTTCTTTTGTCCAATATTCACTCCATAGGATTGCTTCATGCTTACCACAGATTTTTGTTTACTGGAATAAAACCTTCATTCATAGAACATTTTGTCAAAATTGCAGAAATAACACCCTGTAATAAAAAAAAAAAAAAAAGAAAAAAAAATTTAAAATCACTTAGCAGATACCAGTTTTACTTTGTAAAATCAATAGAAATAAAGACTGTATTATAGTGAATTTTATTTAGTTTTGGCTAGCATCAGAAAAAAGGTAATTAAAAAGGTTATATTCTGTTCATAAAAAAAAAAAAAAAAAAATTGAATTTTGACTTGCCTAAAAATATCCTGGAGTACAGTACAGGACACAGGCTTTGTAATCATAGACCAAGAGTTATATGCTGATACCTTCAGGTGACTGGATACTGGCAAAACCTTTGCTAGGAATGCCCTCCTGTGCACCCTTCATAACCCCACCTATGGGACTCCAGTTTGGCAAGAAAGTAAGAAAAATAAACAGAGGGAGGGTCATTTGCCCTGTACTGTATTTCAAAATTTGAAATTCACAGGAAAGTCAAAATTTGAATTCCTAATTGTACAGTACCTGTAATTGGACCATGTAATGTCCCCAGGCAATAAAATAATAATATATATATATATATATATATATAATATATATATAGAGAGCGACACGAGAGACAAGGCTTTCAGATAACATCTTAAGCACCTTGCAGCCAAAGCTTGAAACCAGTTGGCAAATTTGCAGTCCTGCAAGATGAATATTTGATCCTGAAAAGCCCAAGAAACACCAATCTGGTGACTTACACATACACTTTGTTTTACATAAGCAGGCAGCATCACCAAATTGTAAACTTAGCTGATTGAGGCAAAGGCAACCAAAAAGGCCACATTCCTTGTGAGAGCCTCTAATGGGATATCTTGGATCAGTTCAAAAGGAGGACTTTGAAGATCAGAAATGACTATTTAGATGCCAGGAAAACATTGGAAGTCGAAGCTAAGGATTAACATATACCACCTTGTATAAAAGGTCATAAGAGTGTTTAAATCCAAAAGGTCTTAGGAACAGAATGAATAGGGAAGAAACATGTCCTTTTAGATATTAAAAGCCAAAATGCTGGTCTAGACCAGATTGGAGGAAGGCTAGGAGGTGAGGAATACAATATTCGGGCGTTGAAGCACCTGCTTTTGCACAAGCCAAAAACAGTCCTTCCAAGTGCGACGATCGATCTTATGAGAAATAGATTCTCATTTTGAGAAATTAGGAATGACAAAAATCAGCAATGCCCCCATCTTTTAGGGCCCAGGTTTCATCAGCCATGCCATTAAAACCATTGACAGAAGCAAGGAGCCTTGTGAAAGGAAGTCTGGCCTGTATGAAATAGGACAAGGTTCATCAATTGGAAGTCTGAGCACCAAGTTCCCTTGGGACAATTTGGGGAAGGATCCCCAGAATTCATTCACCTCCTACCTTGTGCTTACCATTTCTTATATGTGATGGTTGCATTCATTTCCTTTCAGGCTCTTATCCTCATCTGGTGATTGAGCCAGTAAGTTTTTTTTTTTTTTTTTTAAAAAAGCACCCACACACCTAACAAGCTCTCCAGCAGAATTAATCAGTTACAGAGATGAGACATACCATTTAGCACTAGCAGGAGTGCTTACAGTAATAAGCTTTTATGTAAAACCTTTATCCCCCCCCCCCCCAAAAAAAAAAAAAAAAAAAAAAAAAGAAGAATTTCTCTAATCATTTGTCCAGCCAGCTATAGCCTGCCATGGCAGGTGGCCAACCAGGATCAGCTATAGTCTGCACTTACTGGTCTTCGTTAACCACCTCCCATGGCAAAGTATGCATTCAATAAGGTTTTAAATGTGTGTCAATTGACAATTCTGGATCAAGCATGCAGATTATAAAGTTAAAATGTAGACTGATCTCCATACATTTTCCAAGTATTGAATTAGCAATCTGCAGTTATTAAAAACAAAGGTGTACATCCACTGTAATATGCAGGATAGAGGATATAAAATTAGGTTACATACCATAACAACACTCCATGTGAAAAACCTCACCATGATCTGCTTATGTTGATTCTTGTAGAACACAAGAACTTTGCCAGCCTGTAATACAAGGTAAGGGGGCGGGAGGAAGAGTTACTGTGAAGGGATTGCTATGATACACACCTGAAAAAAATCATGAAATGTGTAGCTTCAACTAGCTATACAGTGGCAGCAATGGATTGTCCAGTTGTGTGTAGACAATCTTAAGCCCATGAAGCGCAAAGACATAAAATGTTTTCAGGTGAAATTACCTGGAGCCCAAGAAATGCCATCACAATGGAATTCAGTGTTCCTAATATTCCTTCTGGATCATAAGGCACGGTTGTTTTATAAATTACCTGCATATAAGCCACACAACAGCTATTAGAAATTTAAGATTACATTATAGTTTGCCTTGCATAAGATTGTGTAACAATAGTTATGACAGCCTGACACTGGAATCACTGAAACATCCTGAGATGCGAGTACATCCCATGCTTTGTCTCACTGGAGTTGCTGGCATCCAACTGACCTTTTGACAAGCCCAAAACTGTCACATGGGAGTGCTAAGAGCACTTTAATGCTCCATGTATACTAGTGTTTTTTTTTTCCCCACCTTCTAAAAAAGATGGTATTCTGCTCCTAAACACTGAAGCTTGAAAAATGCTACGAGTCTACAATAGTGTGCATGGACACATAGGATAGCACCATTTAGCTTTTAGGAGAGAGAAAGAAAAAAAAAAAAAAAAAAAACCCACACCACCACAAACACAAGCCACACCACAACAGCAACCCACAGCTTCTAGGAGCTTGAAAGGGAGAGGGGGGGGGGAGCAAATTTGATGTGCAGGCATGTAAGTGTCTGCTCTGTGGTGCTGCCAACAGTTCAGTTTTTTTTTGCCACATCAGGACCTAAACGTTTGTTGGGCAATCACCGTGATGGACTGCCTCACTGACCAATAGAAAGGCTTAGATGTTAACTTTTCTTCTAAACCAGTTTATACTTTGAATCAGAAAACACTGCGAACTCACATTGGATGATGGATGCTGATATATATGATTTTCACCAAGAACTAACCGATCAATGTAGCCAGCTGCCCCACCTGTACAGTTTGGATATTTGCCCAAATCTCCAATACCTCCAGGTCCAAGATAACCCCTAAAATATAAAAAAGCAGCACTGAAGTATGACGGCTGTCAGATTAAAAAAAAAAAAAAAAAAAAAAAAAAGGGAGAACTTTGGTTTAAAGAAGAACTCTACTCTTACATTTCTGTAATGTCTGCTTATGTCTCAGATGCTCTGGATAGAACAACATACTCACTGTGTCTGAAAATCATGTAGGATGCACACCCAGCGTCCCTACAAGACCCACTGATTGGGCTACAGGACATATTCCCAGGTCCTGTGCTTTGGGCACACAATCTCCATCGAGCCAGTTTTAACTGAATGAAAAAGTTGGCTGCAGAGCCTGTTCCATCCTTGTAGACCACAGCAAAATTTGAGGCATTAAAAGGCTTCATGAGTTACATAGTTGATTTCTGTAATTGTCTCCTTCCTGGGCCCCTCCCGATTTCTAACTGGGCAGTCAAAATCAGTTTACCAGACCCATCAGCCACAATGCTTTGCAAAATCTACACAGTATTCTGTCACTCTTATTAAAAGTAAAAAATAATCAAAACCCCAAAGCAATTCAAACATATATAATGGAAAGTCATAAAAGTAAAAAGACTGCCAAAACAGTCAGTAGATCCAGAGATTTAAGCAGCTTAAGTTATATGTAAATCTTAGCATTCAGTACAAGTAGCTTGCATTCCTATTGGTTTTTGAGCCTCATTGTCAAAAATGGATTTAGGATGGAACAAAAAAAAAAAAAAAAAAAAAAAAACACAAGTTACTTTAACAAAAATTTTCCTGAACATGTATGGCAGCAGGACTGGAGGTCAGGAAAAAGGACGACAACTTTAGTTTGTGTAGCCTGCATTAGAAATTTAACTTCAAGAAAAGGTTTAGTATGATATTACTCACGTGGGGCATTCAGGAACAGGTAGCAATAGAGTCAGGCAAAGCCAAGCAGCTTCCAAAGCCAAAATTATAAGCCACTGTGGCCAGAACATAACCACATCTTGCATAAGAAAACAAGTCCGATTCTGAAAAAAAAAAAAAAATCTTGCCCATAATTAAACACAATATACAAGAACTGGGATATAAAAAAAAAAAAAAAAAAAAAAAAACGAACCTGGAATATAGCATGAGGGCAGGAAGGAAAAAGCTGTGTCACTGGTAGATATACAGGGAGCCAATGCTGACAGCTCAGAAAAGGACCAAGCCTACCAGGTAGATAGAAACAGCATCTTGGCTGCCGCTTGTGTGCCTCACTCAGCGTTAGATTGGGAGGAAAGCAGTTCTACACTGAACATTTTTAGCAATTGACTTACTCTATACATGGTGATGTACAGATAGTGTACAGTATTTAATATAAATATTACCTCCATTACACAAATAAAGCTAGCTATACATGCAAAGATTTCTCTCATTCAGCCCCCGGGCTTGACAGCGTGAATGAAGGAAATCTCCCCTTCTGGCTATAGTATTCAGCAGCTGCTGGGACCTGAAGAGCGACTGCATTTGTTTGGTGGAAAATTTACCACTTTGCTCCTCTGAAAAAAGACTGACAAAATCGACTTTGTCAAGCATGGGGTGCTGACAGCCTACTTACAGCTTGAATTATGACAGCAACTTGACATTTGAGCAATGTGTGGCCATATAAAAGCAGCTTGGAAGTGTGAATGTTGGACCTTGACACTGAACAATTTGCACTCATCTGTCCATAATCTCTTCACATCTACCCAAAATCAATACAAGTACTGTTTTGAAAAATGTCAAAAAAAAAAAAAAAAAAAAAAAAAAAAAAAAAAAAAAAAAAAAAAACACAAACAAAAACACACACAACAACCACCAAAGCTTAAATCTGACACTACTCACAAAAAAAAGTGTGCATCCCAGGGGTGTATTTACCACAAGGCAAACAAGGCATTTGCCTAGGGCGGCATTTTTCGTGGGGGGGGGGGGGCAGCATTGACCCTTGGAAGAAGGGACACACGCGGCATGGAGACATGGTGGGTGCTGTGGGTTTCATGGTGTATGCACACCCCTACTCTCGTTCCTGGGGATATCCAGAGCTGTGAAGGCGAGTGTCTCTCTCTCTCACCATGGGGGAGGGTGGCTGGTGTATGGAGGGGCAGTGGTAGTGGAAGGCAGGGGCGTTCTTGGTCAATATCAGGCTCCTTCTGTGGGGGGGGGGGGGGGCCAATTGTTGTGTTGCCTAGGGTAGCACAAAACCTAAATACACCACTGGTGCATTGTATAATAAAAACAAAGAAAAAAAAACGTGTCCATGTGAACACTAAAGACCATCCCATGTGTTACCTGAGGAAGAGCATCTGGTAGCGGTTTAGTAAATAGCAACTCCAAAACAGAAACCACTAAGTAGGTCAAGCTAAGGCGCTGAAGAACACCCATTATCCGAATATCACTCCATGACACTATAAAAACAGAATGAAATGAATTATTTGTGTTTTCTACCATGTACACTTTGACGGATGCATGCTATAACTGATACTTCCAAACAGTTCGAATATACAGGTGAAACTCAAAAATTAGAATATCGTGCAAAAGTTCATTTATTTCAGCAATGCAACTTAAAAAAGGTGAAACTAATATGAGATTAGTCAAGCCGTGATTTGTCATAATTGTGACGATTATGGCTTACAGCTCATGAAAACCCCAAATCCACAATCTCAGAAAATAAGAATATTACATGCAATCAATAAAAACAAGGATTTTACATAGAAAAATATCGGACCTCTGAAAAGTATAAGCATGCATATGTACTCCGTACTTGGTTTAGGCCCCTTTTGCAGCAATTACTGCCTCAATGCGGTGTGGCATGGAAGCCATCAGCCTGTGGCACTGCTGAGGTGTTATGGAAGACCAGGATGCTTCAATAGATGCCTTCAGCTATTCTGCATTGTTCGGTCCCATGTCTCTCAACTTTCTCTTGGTAATGTCCCCATAGATTCTCTATGAGGTTCAGGTCAGGAGAGTTTGCTGGCCAATCAAGCACAGTAATCCCATGGTCATTAAACCAGGTTTTGGTGCTTTTGGCAGTGTGGGCAGGTGCCAAGTACTGCTGGAAAATGAAGTCAGCATCCTCATAAAGCTAGTCTGCGTAAGGAAGCATGAAGTGCTCCAAAATCTCCTGGTAGACAGCCGCGTTGACCCTGGACTTAATGAAGCACAGTGGACCAACACCAGCAGATGACATGGCTCCCCAAAGCAACACAGACTGTGGAAACTTCACACTGGACTTCAAGCATCTTGCAGTGTGCCTCTCCATTCTTCCTCCATACTCTGGGTCCTTTGTTTCAAAATGAGATGAAAAAGTTGCTCTCATCAGAAAAGAGGACTTTGGACCACTGAGCAACAGACCAGGTCTGTTTTCCAGGTAAGACACTTTCTGACATTGTTCAGGAGCGGCTTGACAAGAGGAATACGACATTTGAAGCCCATTCCAGGATCCGTCTGTGTGGTGGCTCTTGATGCACTGACTCCAGCCCCAGTCTACTCCTTGTGAAAATCCAACACTTTTGAATGGCCTTTTCCTGACCATCCTCTTCAAGCTGCGGTCATCCCTGCTGCTTGTGCACCTTTTTCTTCCACACTTTTCCCTTCCACATAACTTTCTATTAATGTGCTTTGATACAGCACTTTGGGAACATCCAACGTCTTTTGCAAATACCTTTTGAGGCTTTCCCTCCCTATGGAGGGTGTCAATGATGGTTTGCTGCACAACTGTCAAGTCAGCAATCTTTCAGTAATCTCAATCATGGGAGAGACCATTTAAAGACTCAGGAACCCTTTGCAGGTGTTATGGCTTAATTCGCTGATTAGAGTGGGACACTTTGAGCTGAGAATATTGCACCTTTTCACAATATTCTAATTTTCTGAGATTGTGGATTTGGGGTTTTCATGAGCTGTAAGCCATAATCACCACAATTATGACAAATCACGGCTTGAACTATCTTGCTTTGCATGTAATGAGCCTCTCATCTTTCACCTTTTAAGTTGCATTACTGAAATAAAAAATTATAATATCGTGCAAAAGTTCATTTGAGTTTCACCTGTACTTGGTTACTGGTAGTGAAGAATAGGTTCCTACACATCAAGATGCTTCAATAGCATACACAGAGCAAACAACTTACATGGGCTACGGCAATAATTCTCGTTTATCACAAATATTCCAATGAGGAATAGCTGAATACTTCTCCAAAGAACTTTCCAAAACAGCTTCCATCTGGAGTTCCCTTTTCGCAGCATTGAATTTAAGGACAGATGGATGGATGTTCCCATGATAAACACAAACCTAAAAAAGTATTTAATTCTCCATTAACATGTTGTATTATCTTGTGGTTGTAACAATACATTTTATAAACACCTACATACACACGATAAAAAGATGGATTCCAAAAAGGTAGTTGCCTCTGCTACAAAAAGGTTTATCATTCGCGTGTAGATCTGTAGGCCCCAGATCTACATTCTGGATTCTTACATCCAGGTATTTATGTATAAAAGATCATGTTGTCTGCAATGGAGGGAAAATGTAAAAAGCTGATTTGACAAGAGATAAACTGGCCCAATTGTAAATTCCATATCTTGGAGTATAGTACAGGACACAGGCAACTTAGTCATACACCATGGGTTTTAGTCTTATACCATCAGGTGACTGGAAACTAGTTATGAAGTATGAAGAAAGACTCTTTTATAGGAAAGGGCTGCCAATTTAAAAAAGATGTCTGACATGATGGCTAAAAAAGCTACTTTGCTGGTAAGATTCTCCAAGGGAATATCCCTAATGGGTTCAAAGGGTGGTTTCTGTAAGGCACAAAGAACCAGATTAAGGTCCCAGGTAAACAAAGTGTTCTGGAAGAGGGGCAGGGGCCAATACTAAACACCTTGAATAAAAAGGTTTCTACAAGACAGTGCAAGGCCAGAGGCCTTTGAGAAAGGATGGATGAGGACAATACTTGACCATAATCTAACTTTGACACTTTAAAAAGGGCAAGACCTGTTTGCAGGAATGTCAGGCACAGTAATCTGTGGCTGAATTGACAAAGCGTGCACCAGGCAAAGTAGGATTTCCTGCTGCAATAATAAATCTTACAAAGTAGCCTTTTTGGCTTTACAGTAGGAATCTAGATTCAAATTCCTCTATCCCTTAACCTGAGTTTCAGCAGGCATACCATTAAAGCCAGAAATTGTGAAGTGGAGTAGGAGGGCCTTGAGAGAAGAGATCTGGCCTGTTGGAAAGAGGGCCAGAGATTGTCTTAGTATGTCTGTGGCTGTGTGATAAAAAAAAAAAAAAAAAAAAAAAAAAAAAAGGACCTACCTTGTACAAAGTGGTGCTTTTAGAAGCATATAATTTTCTATCTGCAGAAGGAAGAAACTTCTATAAAGTAAAGAGATTTTTGTTTAGAACAGATAGCAGGATCAACCACAGGATAAGGCCACGTTTTTGCACATTTCTTTCCACTGGATAGATTTGAGCAAAGATGTTTGGGGAGAGTGAAAAGCTCTTCAGGTTTGACCCAATCATAGATTGCCCAAGCTGTTCCATGTTTTTGTAGGTCTCTGTACCCATAGGGGCATGGAAAGATGGAGAGTCAGGCTGCACAAAACCAAGGTTTTTGCAGATAGAGGCAGAGAGATTTTTAACCATAAGTATACTGTGTGACACTCCTACTTTAACATAACCACAATTTGTGGGGTTGGAAGAATATTTTGTAGCTTCCTCCAACACTACCTCAATATTTCCCTAGGATTCTTCATCCTCTTGGACTGGCATATCAGTGTGACTCTAGCTGAGAACCAGACTGGGACAAGCAAGTGTTTCTCAGTCCTGGACAAAGATGGCTGTATTAAAGCCACACAATCTGACCAAGAAATTGTGCCAGATAGAATTGGATGCTGAGACTTGTGTTAAAACCTGTCCTATGCCAATGCAAGAGACAGTGTCACTGAGGTTAAGCAGGCCTTCGGCAGAGAGAAAGTTTGCCTGTTTAGAAATGGGTCACTTACACCTGGTCTCAGCCACAGCTACAGGTAAAGGAATTCAGGAGGAAAAAGGCAGCTATAGACCTTAAAAGGCTCTAGGCAAAAGTGGCATTAATTTGTTTGATCAGTGGTGTGATGCAACATCTGGTCATCCATCGGAGACTGAGCTCTGGATACAGTTCAGTGTAAAGTTTGAAAATGTTGCACTATAAAGTGAAAACATTCAAAATATAGCCCTGTTTGCAAGTAAGACAGGGTTACCCTGTAACTGACCTTTACTGCGAAAGCTGTGGACTATATAAAAAGTCCAGGCTTAATCTGTCAAAATGGGTATACCCCTGGGGTCATCATCAGAAACTATAATGGATGACAGCCCTGGACATGTATAGCACCCTGTGGCCAATTCAATGCATTGCACAAAGTGGCAAGGTGAGCACCCTGCACAGGAAACAGTGACCAAAGCAACATTATAGGCCATCCCCACAGCAAGGAATCAGATTATGGCTCCCAAGGATGTACTTGAGACATGGCTTTTGTATACATTAGAAGACAAGAATAATTGTTTGAAGAACTCTAAGAAAATAGAAAAACAATGAAAAATGATAAAATTGTGTTAATCTTCCCACCAAAAGGAGGAGGGGGGCAACCACAACCCTGAGTGGGGGGGGAGAAGAAATCAGGCTGTGACAGTTTTGAAGCTTTTATCAGCATAATCCAAAAAGATTTCCCAGATAAGGGCAAACAGGGGATGCCTATGTTATTGATCATAGGGTCAGCCATAGACTAAAGTTACACTGAAAAACCTGAAATTGATGTCAGAATTAGACCTAAATATTGTTGACAGTACAAGTATGTGTGCAGGAATCCAAGAAATATGTGTTTGCCTGGTTCTTTTTAGGGCTCCAAAAAAGGAGTTGAAATTCATTGTTCATCTTCTCAAGATCAAATAAATCTTTAGCCCTTTACTAATGTTTTACTAGAGAACTATGGAGTATATAGGTCAAGCAGTTATCCTCAGGTCCATTTTCACTGTCTGCCCAAACACTAGTGTTCAGGCAGCTGTCAGTTTTGGGTTGATTTAAGGCGCGTTAGGAGGCGGTGTTATATTTTAGCGCATAACGCCACTGTCAACTTTATTTGAAATGCACACCAATTCATGTCACCAAACAGCAGTGCTTAGCACTACTGTGCTGTGGCATGTAGTGCCTACTTGTGCACTGCGATTAAAAGCAACATGTCTGCCTGGAGGCGTAAATAATCTCTTGAGAGTTTGGGTTTTATAGAATGATTGGCCTCTCCCTATTCTCGATCAAGCCTGCATATGGTGAGAAGGTGAAGGATAGGCTTCACAAAATTTTGGTGGTTAAAATTCTTTATCAGACTCTGCTAAAACGTATCAGCATCCCCATGCCAACCCATGAACAAAGAGGAAGATTGTTGGAACCCACCATTTCCAGAAGTGGAGATTATGTTTGGAATAAATCAGACAGTGGCAAAAAAAATTCTGCTTTAGTCAGACAGGCCATGCATTTCTCGAGGAGTGCAAACAAAGTGAAGTGAATAGAGTGGTGTCAGGGCAAAACCTTGCTCCAGAACAAGGGACCTGCCATCAGCCCGACACAACCTGATGTTTTGTCAGAGCCTTCAGCAGAATTGTGTCCATGTGTCATGCGTTCCCATTCCCACACAACTCTAGATTACCATTGCTGAGTGAGGATCTCTCCCTGCAGGGTACTCACACAAGGGGGATGTGAAAGTTAGCCAGTGCAGTAAGAACCCGCAATAACCCAGGTGCTAACAAAGAGTCCAACAAAAAACACCACATGCCACATTTGAAAGGATACATTTTGCTATCTAAAAAGGTAAATTAACGCTAAATAGCTAGGGAAAAACACCAGAAGTGTATATTACCCCATAACCTGTGTCCTCAAATCACTTGTGTACTTGGATCTGTAGTACCGTATATTACTACATTGTGTCCAAGGCACAATGCAGTTCTAACAAGACATGTATAGCCAGGAACTGCTATGTAAAAAAAGGATACCCCGGTACTACTTTGCCCACATTGCTGCACCCGTTCAGGGTCCAGGCATTGCCCATCACACTGGCCATGCTCCCAAAGGTGTCTTCAGGGTCTGGGTGACAAGGAATGGACCACAGCTGTGGATCTGTATAGCACCCTGTAGCTAAACAGATCAATTGCACCATGTAACAAGGAGAGTTCCAAAAGCAGGATCCAGTGCCCAATGCAAGCATTACAGACTGGCCCTGCTGCTTCGGGATCTGGGTACTATTCAAGATATACTGGTACATCAAGGGTAACTGATCAAGAAAAAAAAACCCACACAACTCCCACAAAAGGTCTATTAGCCAAGGACAAAAAAAAAAAAAAAAAAAAAAAAAACACAAACACTGGAGCCTCTTGCAATAGGCAGGATATATATGTTATAGTATATTTCAGTGTTGCTCAAGCTGATCATATAAAAAAAAAAAAGAAGAGGTAAATTAATTTTCTGTATGTGAAATCAACAAAGTTAAAAAAACTGCAAAATTATGCTTACCATGGAAAGACAAGGTCTGCTAATGTCAACCCTGCAATAAGGGAAAAAGGAAAAAAAAAAAAAAAAAATTATACCATAGCTGGAAGCGACATACACCTGCAAAAAGTTTGCACACCATTTACAATAAAGTGCTAGCTCTGAGCTGCTTATAGTCTACATTCTTTTTAAAGTTTACTTAACATGCAAACGTAATGTAGTAAAGTGATCTTGAGGTTCAACCCACAAAATAAAACATCAAAAAAGGAATTTAAGGTTAAACAGTTCAGTTCATCATGAAATATAAATATTAAAGATTAGCAGAAATATCTTAATTACAAATCCATATGGCAAAATATGCTTTAAGGCAAATTCAGGGCTGGTATTTAGACATCACAATTCTCTACGCACACCTGAGTAAAAACACTCTTGTAAAAGCTCCATTTCTTGCACCATGTTATTTTAGTAAAGGCTAAGGGTGCATTCACATTGTGAATGCACCTTACTGGTTAGAAAAGTGCAGTGTTTTCCTGCTTGCTCCTCCCACCTTTTAGACAGCGCAGTATGGAGCAAAGGAATAAATCTCATGACTCGCACAAAAAAGCAGCAATTAAGGCATTTGGAAGTATTTTATTGCGCTACTCCCAATACAGTACTTCTACTCTCTAGATTAACTTAAGCATGTCAAATTACACTTTAAATCTGTCTTGTGTAATTATCTGAAAGTGATTATACAATTATACATCAATTTCAATTTCACTACATGGACCACTTATGTATTTATGTACACTGATCATATCCCTCAATCTCAAGAGTGTAAATTCAGTACAGCTAAAATCTTTCCTCATAGTTTAGCATCCTCCAACTACTGTTTGTTGCCCTTCTCTGCACTTCAAGTTCTCAAATAACCTTTTTGTGAACTGGTGGCCAAAACTGCATATTTTAGATAAGGTGTTACTAATGATTTGTACAAGGGTAAAAAGTGATCTCTGGAGTCAATACCATTTGCATTTTGCCAACTTGAGAAATTTGCAGCTTGGCATTGCAAGCTATTAAGTCTACACTATATTGCCAAAAGTATTGGGACGCCTGCCTTTACATGCACATGAACTAGAATGGCATCCCAGTCTTAGTCCATAGGGTTTAATAGCAAGTTGGCCCACCCAATGCAGCTATAACGCTTCAACTCTTCTGGGAAGGCTGTCCACAAGGTTTAGGAGTGTGTCTATGGAAAGGTTTGACCATTCTTCCAGAAGTGCATTTGTAAGGGCAGGCACGGATGTCTGATGAGAAAGCCTGGCTCACAATCTGCACTCTAATTCAGACCAAAAGGTGTTCTATTGGGCTGAGGTCAGAACTCTGTGCAGGCCAGTAAAGTTCCTCCACCCCAAACGTGCTTATGCATGTCTTTATGGACCTTGCTTTGTGCACAGTTATGTTGGAACAGCAAGGGGCCATCCCAAAACTGTTCCCACGAAGTTGGGAGCATGAAATGGTCCAAAAGGTCTTGCTATGCCGACACCTTAAGAGTTCCCTTAACGTGTACCATTCTTCTGGCAAATGCCAAACCCAGGCACATCCAGATTGCCAGACAGAGAAGTGAGATTCAGCACAATCTCTAGAGTCCAGTGGTGGTGTTCTTTACTGTATCTGACGGTTTGCATTACACTTGGGGATGTAAGGCTTGGATGCAACTGCTCAGCCATGGAAACCCAGTCCATGAAGCACTGTTGTGCTAATCTGAAGGCCACATGAAGTTTGGAGGTCTTAGCTATTGACTCTGCAGACAGTTGGCAACTTCTGTGCTTCAGCATGCACTGACCACACTGTCATTTTACATGGCCTACCAATTCGTGGCAGAGTTGCTTCCAATTTATTAGATTACAATTAACAGTTCAAACGAATATTTAGTAGCAAGGAAATTTCACGGATGGACTTATTGCACAGGTGACAACCCATCATGGTAGCACGCTTTAATTCACTGAGCTGAGAGCAACCCATTCTTTCACAAACTCTTTTGTAAAAGCATTCTGCATGGCTAGGTGCTTTATTTTATAACCGGCAGCTATGGAGGGGATTGAAACACCTGAATCCATACAGAGTTATCAAAAAAAAAAAAAAAAAAAAAAAAAAAAAAAAAAAAAAAGTGTTTCTACAATGAGTATTAGGGACATAGACTACTGTAACAACTTTGATCTATTTTAAATAAACCAGATAGAAAACGCAAAGAATATGACTGCTACAAACAAAATCTTCACCACTGCTCCACTTTTTCAAAGCTTATAAAATCAGCCCTTATGTGACAACTATATGACAGAAAACAGAGAAATTAGGGCATTACATTACCATTCCAACTCTGGTGTTTGAAGAACCAATACCCTCCTCCGCCATAATTCACAAACACCATTATCATAAGAGCAAGCCTAAAATATAAAAACAAAATTAAATTTGTAAGCCTCTCCCCCCCCCCCCCTTTTTTAAAAAAACATTAAAATGGCCTAGGTCTGCCTTACTCATCTGGGGTTCACTTTCAGGAGGTTGTTGGGGTTCCTTATGCAATGAGCAATTTCTGGTCTGATATGTAAACATTGACAGAAATCAGCTATTTTTTAGCCATCTATAAGGGGGCATTTCCCCAAATGACTAAAAAAAAAAAAAAAAAAAAAAAAAAAAAAAGCCCTTCTCCACTTACAATTAAGAAGCATTTCATTGACCACCTGGGTTTTGATTATTTTAGTGAACATAATTGTCATAAAGTGGGTATCAAATGCACAAAGCAAGTATTTCACATTCATTATGCTTTTATTTATTCTTACATTTCAAGTAAATGTGGCATGAGCTGTAGATATAGTAATTATCAGTAGGAGTTCTAAAACCTCAGCTATCTCCTGCGGAGCACAATTCATAGATCAGTTATGCAGTTAAGCTGACAGCTTTACACACTGTTGATTTCAGTGAGACATAAATGATAGTGGAGGGCAGAAATATTGTTTTAATACTACTTTAACCTGGGCAGTGATGTCTTGAGATATGAAGATTCCCAAATAGCCAGCATCCACTCTAACTTAAAGCAGAACTCCAGTCTTTCCCTATGCAGTGGGGATGTGCCTGCAGTGCATGGGTTAACTGCTTGTTTTGTCTAGTGGCTCAAGGAAAAGCTGTATTTACTCTGTCCTCTGGAAAAAAAATAGCCACGCTCTCCCATGCCTAGTGGTAGACTGTTCCTGCCGTCGTCACATCTGGGGCCTGTCTATGGGCGTGACGACACCAAAAACAGCCCATTCACAAGACTGCTAAAGCGTGCGGGGGGCCAGAGCGTTGGGGCTTGGTCTTGTGCTCTGAGGATTAGGAAAGTATCTCCGCTTACTGAACCCCTAGACAAGAAATGAGCATTTTTGCTCTGAATTCTCCTATAAATACCAGGTTTTGATTAGAGTTTCTCTTTAAAATAAGCTACAGATAAGAATTTGTGGTGTATAAACAGTAGCAAAAATAATTTGCCTGATAGTTTGTTTTAATTTAATGTGAAAAAGGAAACTGCAGCTTTCACTTTCAATTTATTTTGTTAGTAGCCAAATAAGTAATTGTGTTGCACTAATCAATGTAGCATACAGTAATACCAAAAATATAAAGCATAATAAAATTTTATTACACTTTAAATTGTGGTATGTATATATTAGCACAATTTTTTACTTTCATACCATATGTAAAATATTAACTCAAGATGCTGCAACAAACATGCACAAAAGCAAAAATTAGACAAACTACTGCCCTCTGCAAATATATATATATATATATATATATATATATATATATATATATATATATATATATATATATATATATATATATATATATATATATATATATATATATTTTTGCACCCTGCAGAGTTAATATCTTGTACTGTCCCCTTTGGCAAGTATCACAGCTTGTAAACACTTTTTGTAGCCAGCCAAGAGTCTTTCAATTCTTGTTTGAGGTATCTTTGCCCATTCTTCCTTACAAAAGTCTTCCAGTTCTTTGAGATTTCTGGGCTGTGTCACGCACTGCTCTTTTAAGGTCTATCCATAGATTTTCAATTATGTTGAGGTCAGGAGATTGTGAAGGCCATGGCAAAACCTTCAGTTTACGCCTCTTGATGTAATCCCCCGTGGATTTCGAGGTGTGTTTAGGATCATTATCCATTTGTAGAAGCCATTCTCTCTTTAACTTCAGCTTTTTCACAGATGGCATCAAGTTACCATCCAAAATTTGCTGAAATTTTATTGAATCCATTTTTCCTTCTACTCGTGAGATGTTCCCTGTGCCACTGGCTGCAACAACCCCAAAGCATGATTGATCCAACCCCATGCTTAACAGTTGGGCAGAGGTTCTTTTCATTCAATTCTGTGCCCCTTCTTCTCAAAACGTACCTTTGCTCATTCCGGCCAAAAAGTTCAATTTTAACCTCATCGGTCCACAGAACGTGTTTCCAAAAAGCATCAGGCTTGTCTATGTTCATTTGCAAAGTTCAAATGATGATTTTTGTGGTGAGGACGTAGAAGAGGTTTTCTTCGGATGACTCTTCCATGAAGACCATATTTGTACAAGTATCTCTTTATAGTGGAATAGTGTACCACAACTCAAGTGTCTGCCAGATCTTTCTGGAGGGATCGTGCAGTCAAACGTGGGTTTTGAATTGTTTTTTCTCACAATCCTGTGAGCTGTTCTGTCTGCTATTTTTCTTGGTCTTCCAGATCTTGCTTTAACTTCCACTGTTCCTGATGACTGCCATTTCTTAATTACATTCCGAACAGAGGATATTGACATCTGAAAACACTTTGCTATCTTCTTATAGCCTTCTCCAGCTTTGTGAGCGTCAACTATTTTCAGTTTCAGTTTTCTAGACAACTGCTTAGAAGAACCCATGGTGCTGATTGTTGGGGCAAGGTCAGATGAGTCTGGGCATTTAAAACCTTTGAGACTGACATCACCTGGTCTGCCCAGACGATGATTGAGAACAATCCATGACACTGGCAGGTCTCAGCTTGGAAAAGGGGGCAGTGCATGCTATAAATTCTGCACGGTGCCCAAACTTTTGCAGATGCCATTTTTTTGTTTTCTGCTATTTTGAAAGTGTAAATGATGGAAATAAAATCTAACTTTTGTTGACATATTATAAGAATGTCTAATCTGTAATTTGATGCCTTTGAGATTTTTCCATCTTTCCTTGGCTTCTTTATGCATATTAAATACAAATTTTTAGCTGGGGTGTGCAAACTTTCGATCCCCACTGTATATAATATCCCAACACTCATTTACATGTATTTCAATTTTTTTATTAATAAAAGCAAAATAGACATGTAGCAGAATACATTTTGGCCTAACTTTAGGATGAAATGTGGTTTCTGTAAAAATTTCACTGGGTAGGTTTTATAGCAAAAAGTTAAACAAATGTTTCTCAAAATTGTCAGTCTGTTTATAGCGCAAAAAATAAATTTAATCAGGGTGCAGCATTGCATGACCTTGCAATTGTCAGTTAAAGTAATGCAGCGCCATATTGCAAAAAAATGTCCTGGTTAGGAAGGGGGTAAATCCTCTGGAGGGCAAGTGGTTAAACCTTGACCTGTACACTAGTACTTAAGAGGATACACCTTTTCCCCCCCACCAATCCACCCTGCAGTGTGAGAGCAGGCTTGGGGGGGGGGGGGGGTTAATATTTTTTCCTGCACACAGACTGTTGCAGTTACTACCATTTGGGGCTCCACCCACCACAGCTGAGTTATTCAGTTTCCTACAAATGAATAGACTACGAGTACCATCAGTCATTACAGCTGATGGCTTGTAGTTCTTAATGAACATTGGGGGTGCCAGTGAGCATCCTTGTAGTTTATTGATCTGTTCTCAAAAGTAACTACCTGCCCGTACAAGGTATGAGCAGACAGCTGTTCTGAGTCTGCAGGAGCCTGCCATTGCACCTGTGATCTGCTGATTGTGGGTGCAATGATCTGCAGAAATTAGCAAAAATGTATTACCTGAATTTAAAACAAAAAAAAAAAAAAAAAAGGCGCATGCATTATTTCTCAAAAAAGGTGAACTTAACCTTTAACCCATCACATAAACCACTAAGATTTAAACCTTCTGTTCCTTGACTCTAGCCCAATCATTAACCTCTGCAATAAATTGCAGAAAGGAGATACTAAAAGGCTTAATTGTTTTTATTTTAAAAACAAACATGCTATACTTGCATGCTCTGTGCAAGATTTTTGCAAAGGGGCCCTAATCCTCTTCTTGGGTCCCCTGTTCCTCTCTGGGCTCTTCACTATGGGGGCACTCATGCATGCTTGCTCTCGAGCCCTGCTCTACGTGTTCATAAGACACCTCACTCCCTGGCTGTGATTGACAGCCGTGTGAGCTCCTACTGAAATCTGAACCAATGAAGAGGTAGAGAGCCAGGACAGTAGTTGCTCATGCACGTTGCTGGATCTGGATCAATCTTGATTAAGTATTGGGGGGGCCGACTAGGTTTTTTTTACCTTCATGCACAGGGGAAAAAACAAAAAAAAAAAAAAAAAAAAAAAAAAACACACCACCACAACACACACACACAAACACTATATAGAAAATATATTCTTTATAAAGATTTGACAATATTTTTAAACTAAATGCTTACCCTCTAAAGGTATCCAATGATCGCAGCCGCTGGGGTACAGTTGTCCATGTAGCAAGATGGGCATCTTGGCTACAGAGATCAGCCCTGCTTGGAGAGCCAAGCTCCTTTGGAAACAAAGAAATGCTTTATTTATACCACATTTAATGTTTCTTTACAATCAACTAGTAACAATCCAGTGAATACCTTTGACTGCAGTGTCTACAAGCTACATTACCCAATCTATAAACACACATGACCCAACTTTCTCCTGTAAAAGTTTATTCTGTAAGAACTCATGCAATCCTGTAGGTAAACATGTTAGGTTCTGCTTTTAGCATGAATGCACTGATAGATATATAGATATATTTGTCAGTGACAACACTGGATGAAACAGGTATGTGGAGGAAGTGGCTCTTGTTCACTTGCAGTTAGACAAACTGAATGTGAGCAAAAAAAAAAAAAAAAAAAAAAAAACCAGTGTCAAACCACAGGGAAAGAAAAAAAAGGAAAGGTAATGAGGCCGATTTACTAAAGATAAACTCTTTGCTCAATACATTGAATGAGCATTCATTCTTGATTAACTAAACCATGTGAAAATCAAATTCCTGTTTACTTTCTTCAACTAGACATGAATGTATATTTTATAGACAAGAAAGTATATTTAGAGTGCACAGGAATTTGCTTTACATAACTGGATGGCTGAAGGCTATATGTTCACACTATTTGGGTGAAGACTCACTTTTGTTTTAATTAGGCCCTGTTTGCACTAGTGCAGTCTCTTTTGCATCTGCTGTCATGCACAATGGAAATAAAGTTATTCTCTATGATGCCTGCTTACATCAATGCAACATGGTGCAGTGCACATTTTCGAAAGGTGCAGCACAATGTATTTTTGGCCCCATAGACTTAAAGGGATTACAAGCATTTAAAATGCTTGTAAAAAAAAAAAAAAAAAAAAAAAAAAAAAAAAAAAAAAAAAAAAAAACACCCCACACACAACCACACACACACTAAACAGAACTCTAAAAACAGAGCACATTAAATAAAATTGTGGTTGAGAAGTACAAAAGACATGCATTATTTCAATACAAAAGATTTCTCTTACAGAATTAATGAGCCGGTCTGTTTCAGTAGGATTGATCTGTTTGCATAACCAATTCTTGACAGGGCTCCACCTACCAAAGCAGGTAAAAAGAAAAATGGAATGTATACAAAATTTTTGTCTCCAAAAAGGAGGTGAAACTTTCAAAAGCTCAAAACTCCTGTTGCATTTTATGACGAATAGTCCAACATGAAACAAATGCTGTAATATTTATTAGTCTCTACTCATTAGGTAACAGAAGTCCAATAAGAATCAGATTAATATAAAAATGTTCCTCTTGTGAGCGGCTAAGGTCTTAACTGCACTAGGTTGTGATAGCCTTTGGATTGGCAGAACAGCCCAAGTGGCACCCACTTGCCCTCCCATCAGTATGTAGAACGTAGTTCCATGTCCCCCTAGGAAAACACACAAGATGTGATTGCCTGGACACCATGAGGGAGGATCTAGGGAGGTCAAAGTAAATATGATCGAAGCCTATGACAGCATCCAAAATAAAAATTAAATATTTACAAGGCTTTTTTTATAAATTAAAAAGGAGTTTTTAAAATGTGATCATGTGAAATGTGATGAAAAAAAAAAAAATATATATATGCAACCACTATATTATATTTTAAACACACTTTTGTTCTGGGGTTTAGTTACTCCAACCTATTTCCACTGAGCGTACAAACATATGTGCCCTTACCCAAGTGGGTCTTCTGCGGGGCCACATATTAGCATACCTGTGTTTGTGCTAAGAGCACTCTGCATGGAGCCTGAGCTGTCGATGACAACTGGGAGTCGGACGCACCAACTCTCAATCAACTGATCACTGACCGACTATCAAAGCAGTCACTGTACAGCCTACCGCAGTATTCTACTCTTGAAGGCAGAAAAAGATACACTAACAGTTTTTAATCCAGGTTTTTTTTGTTTTGTTTTTTTTACTTTGTATCATTTATTTTTTATTCTACCTGAAAACAAACACTATCACATAGTCTATGGCCTGCCCAAGTTGTTGCAATATGTACAGTTTTAACACGTCAAACTTGCAAAGCTGGTTTCAGGCACTAGGATTTGTTTTACCGTCATCATGAAGAGGTTAATCTGGATTGTATTGGTTATTTTTAATTGATTTGGATGCAAGCTCCTATTAGAATAAGTACATGTCACAGCTCCATTATAATCTACAGGTACAAATCATTGATTACTGCCCTGGTGGAGGGTGCTCTGATCAGATGGACCTTGGGTCCAATTGCTAGCTTTGTGTCAGTTTAAAAGAAACCTCTGCATCCACTGAGAATAAATTCAGCATAATCACATTAAACACATGCCAAGCATGACAGGAAACCTTTAGCAATGTGTAATGTGATTGATTCATTCATTCGCAACCCTAAGATGATGTTGGCATTTACAGCTACATAAAAGAGGAACAGCGAATGCTGAGACTAAAATTGATAAAACAGGAATAATATGATCCTATTTCATAAAGTTACTGATACTGTATATATTCATTGTGAGAAGTAGATGCGTACTACCAAGCTTGCCTATCTTTTGTTTAAATGCTGAAGGATTATAAAAAAAATGTTCTGAATCAACATAAAGCTACAGAATATGCAGACACATTTAAATAGTACCTAGAGTTGTGGGGGGGGAAAAAAAAAAAAAAAAAAAAAGAAGGTTTATACTCTTTGGAATTTTCTGAGTTTCTGCGGGAATGGCTTGATGTTCATTAGATATCTCATGCATGATCTGGCCAGCAAAAACCAAGGCCGACTTGCTAAAGGAGTTGAGAAATCTTCACATAGTAAATTGTGTGACTATTCACTTTAACTATCCAAATCATGTGAAAAGTCATTTCCTGTGTACTTATTTCACTTTAACATGGCTGGGTATTCAAAGTGATCAGGGACTTGCTTTTCACGACTATACGATTGTGTTGTCTCAGCTCCTTTAGTAAATCAGCCCAAAAAGGTTTCTTATGAAAGATTAATGCATAAATGTGTATTGGGATGAATGGATAATTTGATTCTGTTAAAAGAGGAAAAGTAGTATATTCTGCAGCCAAATAGTTTTGTTGATACCAGGATTCACTTTGACAGGGATTTTAACCCTTACCTATTTTATCCAAAACTAGGAGTGTTTTTGCCATCCGTGTCAATATGGAAATTGTGCTCACTTGTCAGCCCAAAGACACAGAAAGTAAGCGGAAATATGTCCAAAATAAGGAAAAATCTCCACTTAGCCACTTGTCATAACAAGTCTCCCCCATTAGAATATTTCCCATCTATTCATGTCGTGAGGACTTTGGATTTGCCATCACTTTCTGTTCATAATGATCATCAGGACACAAAAAGGGGGCTATTATAAATGCTTACACACAAGAATCACACATTTCTAACTGAATTTAAATTGGGAAGGAGAGTCATGAGTGAATGTAAATCTTGCGTGAGAACATTAAAAAAAAAAAAAAAAAAAAAAAAAAAAAAAAGACCCCATAGTGATTGTGAATCCTGCCAGTGGTGACAGACTGCAATAAACACCTGACAGGTTGTAACCTCTTGCTTTCTAAATCCAAAGTTTTGGCTTTGATACACTTAACTAAATGCATTCCAAAAACATAGTTATAAGAACACCATACACTTCAAATTACATGTATATGTAGTAGTACCTGCCACAACAGCATTCAATATAAATCATGCCATTTTAAAAAAGCATTTATCCCCAAAATTATCCTCACAAAAGTTTACTTTTGTGGTTAACAATAAGTATAGAGATTATATTGTGCGGTCATACCTTAATAAAAACGATCCCACGGTCAGGACAATAAAAATGGCCACATAGACAAACGCCGCTATAACAATGGCTGCAGAAGGATTAAAAAAAAAAAAAAAAAAAAAAAAAAATAAGTATCAGATCAGTTTTTATATCAGGCTTCATTCCTAGGTACCTACATAGCAGGCTTGATGTTAAAAGGTCCTGTGACCTTGTATGGCAAGTGCAAAAAGCTCCACTTCATCCACTTTTACCGGGGATAGCGGCCTATAACTGCAGTCTTGAAGTGACTTCTCTCCCACCCTTAACCAAAAAAAAGGGGAATTCTTTTGCTGGTCCCACTGTATGCAAGGAATGTTGCTCCCCTACTCTTGCTTGCTCCCAGGATGGACAATGGTATTTGTGGTGTGCATAGAGCAGTGCCCAGGACCACAACTAACATGCAGTCCTCGTTTCAAACCAAATGAAAGTGAAGTGGGGGGGTGGCAGAGGGGGGAAAAAAAAAAAAAACAAAAAAAAAAAAAAAAAAAAAAAAAAAAACACACAACTACAGCATTTGGGTGCCACTAAGTTAAGCGGCTGGGAACCTTGCAGTCTTCAAGAGCTTGGCAGCTGAAGAGCCTTGTGCAAGTTTTAGACACAGCTGGAAGTGTGACAAATGTGTAAGACTGGAGCTGTTGAAGACAGTGAAGATCTGAGCGCTCTGTAAAATGGTGGTTTTTTGCCCTTTGTAGGGACAGTGTCACTTTAAGCTATACATTTAGTCTTTATTATATGCAAGATGCAAAGTGTTACCCACATACTTACGGAAGTTGGTGTATCCAGGGTTATAATTGATTATTATGCCACACGTTACATCTTTGGTACCGGAATAGTTGGACTTTACCCACAAAGAATAATTCCCAAACTCTCTAAATCTGTAGTGCACTCTATTTGAAAACACAAAAAACACAAGGTAATCAGAAGGAAAAAGAAAAAGCACTTCCCCATATACACAATTAAGTGTGTATGTTAAGGGACATATGTTATAGTGATAAACACCCTGAGATTAGCTTAATAGTGTTGACACTGTACACAAACCATATAGCTGGTGTATAAAAGCTGGAAGGATATCTAAAGCAGTTTCCAAATTTAACATTCTCCCATCAAATGAGTGATAACACCCGACTGGCAGCTGTGGACAGCTATTCTACTTTGTCCCCATTTTTAATATTTTGGGCTTTATACATACCATTATTTTACACTTTTGTCTTGCAATTTAGGACACATAGCCCAATGATTGTGTTTGCATTAAAACTATCAAGTGGAGAGAATAAAGCCTCAAAGCTAGGTTAATTCACTGAAAAATTTAATAACCCGATTTCTGCACATGGAGAAGGTTAATAAAATGAACACAAATCAAGTAGTAAACTGAGGATTATGTCAAACTTCATCTGTAGATGTACTAAATGCCATCCATTCAGTGCTGTACCATGGCCATGACTCCCTTGCACATGGGTGGGAGTGACATTGCATCTCAGCCACACGGCTGAAGCCTGCAAACCGTGAGGAAATACCCAGGTGAAGATGGAAGCCCCAGCAGCAGTGATAGTGCTCCACTGGAGGGATTCATTTTTAGGCAAGTCTTTCATAATGTGCTAGGATACATGTTCAGATTGATCTTGAGAGCATTTTTGCAGCAGTGAGAAGGCTGTATTGCTTCCTCACCACCTGTTATATAGCCCCTAAATGCAGCACCTGCGTTCTGCAGCCACATATGTGCAGTGCGCACGCTGCAGCCACATGCACGCACTGCATGCTTGCAGGGTGCCCCTATTCAGCTGAATGGGTTGCGTTCAGCAGGTAGTACTGAACGCTATAGGGGAATCATTTTTGCCACACTGCTTCGAATTTAAGAGCTTTTTGTAATTACATTTGTGAAACTTACCGACAGAGTTCTACATTTGAGGTATTGTTAAGCTGCAGGGTGATAGCATGTCGTGTATCTACTATCGCCATTTCAGTGTCTCTCCCTTTTGTTGGGCTTGTGACAGATAAAGTCTGAAAGAGGCACTGTAAACAAAAGAAAATCAGTTAAGTTCTTTTGTATTTTTTCCACTATCCATATTCACTTAGGAAGATTTCCTTTTCTTGCCCAGTTAAAAGCCGGTTACCATAACAGACCATGGATTTGAGTTAAAGTGGAACTCCAGGAATAGAAACACAAAACAGAGGGCACAAACGCCTAGTGCATTATCTTCAGCACTTTATTACAAGTAAAGGAACATCTAGATTATACTCAAAAGACAAGTTGGCTGGTAACAAAAACAAAGGCACAGGATAAAAAAAAAAAAAAAAAAAAAAAAAAAAAAAAAAGTTTGCGATCCAGCTCCAGTGAAATAAATGACTCCTGCCACTGACATTTCAGGGAATTGGCCCCCCTTCTCAGAGCCAATATAAACGCACTATGTCTTTGCACCCTCTGTCTCTATAGCATCAATCTCCCCGATTTGAGGAGGGCTACACTGTCTTTGCTTCCAATTTGAGTTGCTCGACTGGCAAAACTTTATAGAAATATGATGGGTGCCACCACCCATTTCTGAGCACTGAAGTGTCAAGTTCACATGTGTATCTCTGGAACTCCAGGAATAGCAGCATTTAAAAAAAAAAAAAAAAAAAAAAAAAATATTATATATATATATATATATATATATATATATATATATATATATATATATATATATATATATATATATATATATAAAAAATATATGCTGGTTTATAGGGGTTGAGGCTAAGGAGAAATGCAGTCAGCTACACAGCAACTGCTCTGCCTGCCTCTCCACGGTCCATTCATGAAGGCTTTGTAAAGTGGGAATGGCTTCAGACAGGCGCCAACACTTGCAGCCCATGAATCAGCATTTTGTTTCTGAAGTTTCAGCCTCCAAGTGATGCATGCAGGCAGGTTATTCTTTTCTACTGGGGTACAGCAGCTGCATGGACACAGTTGCTTGTCCCAATATGACAGCTGTATGGCGAGTAGCCCCAATCGCAGAGCCTCTGCATTCAAGGTAGCTTACCTGCACCCGCACGGCTGACATTAGGACAAGCAACTCTGAGTAGTCATTGCTCCCAAACACACAAAAATGGGCTGGTTGCACAAAGCACCTGGCAGCTGAAGTAACAAACAAGGCACTTGTTCACCAGCTACTGATGCCCTCACAATGAGGCTAAATGGGTTCATATAAAACCTTCCATGACTGGGCAAGGGGACAGATGCAGCAAAAAAAAAAAAAAAAAAAAAAAAAAAAAAAAAAAAAAAAAAAAAAAAAAAAAAAAAAAAAAAAAAAAGAAGGGAGGGGGTGGAAGAAAAACAGTTTGGCAATGTCATTCTTTAACTTAAAAGCACACCTTGTACTTTATGCAAGGTCTGTTTATTCTGGACAAGGCCCCCAGGCCTATCCTAATCTGTTGCTAATAGTCTAAAAGCATATGCGGTGGAAATAAAAAGTTTATACCTAGGGCAGCACAGTGGCTAAATGGTAAGCACTTCCGCCTGGCAGTACTAGGGTTGTTTGTTCAAATCCCAGCCACGGCACCTCCTGCCTGGAGCTTGCATGTTCTCCCTGTGCGGGTTTCTTCTGGGTACACCGGTTTCCTCCCACACTCCAAAAAGACATGTTGGTAGGTTGATTGGATCCTGTCTAAATTGGCCCTTGCATATGAATGTGAGTAAGGGACCCTAGATTGTACACCCCTGAGGGTTAGGGACTGACTTTTTTTCCCACCCCCCCCCCCCCCCCCCTTGTACACTGGTGGTAGTCTATTTTCATGTCAGCTGAGGTTTGTGGGACAGAATTAGATTAATATATTCATAAAAAAGGGTGGAAATCTGGCTTGCTATTCAGAAAGATTCCAAGGAATACAATTAGTATGTTTAAACAGGAAATCCCCATTCAACTTACGGGAAGCAACCTGAAAAGGAGTCTTGTTGTGAGGACATGCATTCTATGGTGTTTGACACCATAGAATGCATTGGTGTTTTACAGTATCCCGACTAGATCAAATGGCCACACTGCAGATTTGCTCTTACTTATGCTCCTGTCTAATCTGCCCACATTGTTACCAAATATCTGGTAGAATGGGTCTTAATGAAGGGGGTACTTGTGAACCACCTTTATACACAAAAGATAGAGTAGCTTGTTTTATCCATCTGTCAGCTATGACCTTTGAAGCCTGTAAGCCCTTTCTTGGACCATAAAAAGTCAAGATGAAAGGTTTAATCTTCTGAAACCCTAGTTTCATCTAGATATCCCAGAAGGCATCAAACACAAAGAACGGAAATTCTCTTCCATAGTCACTGGGTTTTTTGCAGAGGGAAGGCAGAATAACTCAGTCACCTTCTGTAGAAGCACAGTGACTGGTTTCAGTATTGCGCTCTCTGAAGAACTGCTGGGGGGTAGAAGGTGGGTGGGTACCACCTTCCACCTCTTGTAAAAGTAATCCATTGGCTCAATAGCTGCTAGGATTACTTCTACTTTGTATGGAATAGTCAGCTGAAAAAAAAAAAAAAAAAAAAAAAAAAAAAATTTATGATCTCAGCAATGTCAGATATCACCTTTCCTATCAAGAGAATTACCCATAGCAGTTAGTGAAGAACTCAGTAATTGTTCAAAGAGTACCCAATAAGCCCATTGAACATTAGACAAATCCCATGGTGACAAATCTTTTCCTGAACCAGTCTGGCACTCTCACCAAGAGAAACCTCCTCAACATCAACGGATCTTCAGTCAACTTAAAGTTTAGTTTTTCTTTTCTGAAATCATACCTGCCTAGGTGGATGCAGCATCATTCCAATGCTGCATCTGTCTCCCACCAGCTCTAAGTGTGAGAACTCTTCGGTCACATGACTGCTGAGCTCTCTGCTGCTGTGAATAATGTCTCCTCTCGCTGGAGCGTAGGGCTGTGGCTTGCTCAGCCTCTCAGCAGATCGTGAGACACTGAGCCAAGTGTCGCTCCACATTCTGGGGTGGATTCCGACTTTAAAGTCGGGATCTTTCCCCAGCTTGGATTGGCTGAGTGATGTCAGCAGGCTTTAGCCCACTATCAGCTGAAAACAGGTTACAGAGTCACAGAAAGGGCCAAAAGAGCTTTTACTGTACTTTAATGTCCTTAAAGATGGAATGCATGGAAACCTTGTAAATGTAGAGTACAAACTGCTAAACCCTAGTCCACTCCATTCTGAAGGGGGAAAAAAAAAAAAAAAAAAAAACCACTGGAATTGATGGAAGAGAAACATTTCTCAGTGCACCATGAAGAAAAACCATTCCATACTTTAACATTTTCCTTCAGAAAACATCACTATGCTAAAGCAGAGCCTCAACCCTAAAGGGAAGTTCTGCCGATTCTCCCACTTTTTTGGGGGAGTGGGCACCTAGTTTATCAGGTAGTCACTCCCACTGGCTACTGTCTTAATCTTTTCAAAAACTACTGATACTCTTTAAATACCCCATCTGAACAACCATTTCCTTTTAGCATCTGTAGCTAGAACTTAGGCAAATCTACTGAAAAAGATCAGGTCAGGGAAGCTTCACTAGAAGAGATGGCCTGATTTGACTGTCAGAGGCTGGGAATCTGGACCAACATACTCTGGGCCTGCACACTGCATTCTCTTGGGCCATCAAGGAGAGATCAGTACAAGTCTACAATTGAACTGACATTGTTTTTGCAGTACCCATGGAATTCATGAAAGGGGTGGGAATGCATATTCTAGGCCGAAATCTTAATCTTTGCAAAGGGCATCCATGTTCCAAGAGTATCTTTCCTTTGCCAGAAGGTAGTGTTGTACTTTTGTTCCTCCTGCTTTCGAACCTGTCCACCACCATACCCACTAGTCTAAGCTTACAAAAGTACCATGTAAATAATGGAATGAATACCTATCAGGTTTCATTAAACCAACAATGGGATTTTGTACCTAGAACAGGGTGGTTCCACAACTTTCACACTTGTCAGCATATTCTTGGACAATGAACATCTACATATTCCATGGCAATTTGATTAAGGCATTTTAATATAACAGTCATTGGAACTGAAAAAAGTAGTTTGGATAAACTAACAGAAATTAAGAGAATTAGTCCAGTTGATTTTTTTTATTTTTACTACTATTAAACTATAACATGACCTAGGAGGAGAATGAAAACGTTTAGAGGCAACATGGTATACAAGGAAGACAACATAAAAAGTAGGCTACTGGCCATCCAATCAGGACAAGTAAACAAACATTGTGCTGCTCCCAGACAGTAGGAAAATCTAAACTGAGGGATGAGGGGGTGGTAGGGGTTTCTCTGTTCTACTTTTTTCTGTGGAGAGAGAGAAAGCAATCATCTCTCAGGGTGTGGTCCTGGAAAATGACTGAGGGGAAAGGGGGAAAAAAATAAAAAAATTTATAGAGTCGCCACCAGAAATGCAATAGAGGTGACACCTGTTTTTGTGAGAACCAAAAGGGATATTCCCTTTAACTTTGTCGTACCTACAGGGAAGGAAGTTAAAAAAAAAAAAAAAAAAAAATCTATAATCTAAATTGAAAACAAAGGTCAAAAAAATTTGTGCAGTTTTAACCCTTCTCGAAGCTACCAAAAACAAAAAAAAAAAAAAGGCAAAAAGGCTATACAGTCAGAAGAACAACAAGGTACCTGGTAGCACTGATCAGAACGCCAATAGATGTAAAATTTCTCATGTATCTCATTGTGAATCAGAAGAACTGCTTGATCCATTTTAAGCTTAGGTGATCTTCTTGACGGACCTTCATAAAATATACAAAAAAAAAAAAAAAAAAAAAAAAAAGGATAAACAATTTACACAACAGTTTATACTGTAAGATTCTTGTAACAGTCAGTTTTGCTACCAGAACTAAGTGAACTGAATGTATTAAAATATTTTGCACATTAGTGAGCTTTGCTGAAATGTTTATTACAATAACCATGGCTTTTAAATAACAGTACTGAGAAAGCAAATAAAATGGATTTTTATGCCATCTGGTTAACATTGTGATTGGATTATATTAGGGCAAAAATTATTGCAATACAACAAAACCTTACCTGCTTGGTCCAGAAAAGGTATTTAAGTTTTTTTTAATTAGCCAAGCTCTAAGGCAGGGCATTTTTTTCCTCCTGCTAACACCAATGATAAGGCATAATTCCTCCCATTCACAACAGTGTGACTATTCTGTCCACTGGCACCAACGATGAGCCATACTTCCGCTTACATGGAGTGCTATTCCTGCCACTGACAGGAATGATGGGACACCATCCCTGACACAAACCAGCAAGGTGGCAAAAATTCCTCCCACCAATATAAACAGAACACCATTTCTTCCACCGACACCAATGATATTCCTCCTCCTGACCACAGACACTTTGTTTTTACTCCCGCTGATTACCAAGCTCAAGACATTTTCTACTCCCACTGGTCATAGCGGGCCACCAGCCCTCAAAGTATGAAAAACTGCCCCTTTGTATAAAAAGTTGAGATCCCTGCCCTAAGGAGATTTTTTTTGTAGTTTTACAAAAGGCAAGCATAAACATCAGCAACAGTGGCCATAAAGTGAAATTATATGACCACAGTCCTCAAGCCCATGAAAGTTTTGCTTTGTACCAGTCACAACAGTTGCACAGTGGGAATTCCTGTATTGCGAGGATGTCTCCCCTCTGAACACAGATATTCAGGGAAGATTCCTAGGGAATACAGTGCAGGTGGAAAAAAAAAAAAAAAAAAAAAAAAAAAAACCCACATCACTTAGGTTTTAGATATAGTAGGAAGATTTAAAACCCTCTGTGCATGTCTCAACCTTTCCAATTGTCCTGGGGACAGTGATGGCTACTCATCGGACAAAAAGAAAGGACAGATGTATTGGGATCTAAACTATGCCCTCAAACATTTGTTGGATAACTAACGTTTAACCAAAAGGGGGATAAAACGGTATGGCTAGCCTGTTGGAATCAGTATGTAATCTAGAGCCCTCTGACTTATGATCAGTGGAAACAAGTTAGGAAGTTAAAGGATCTACTGTTGGCACAAAGCCACAAGATGGGAATAAGATTTGGTTTAAAGCAGTTGATTGCGTTTTTTTTTCGTTCTCCATTTGTTCTTCTATTGAGGTAGGTGCCCATCCTAAACAAATTTAAAAAAAGGTGAATAAAGCCCGAAAGGAGAAAAAAAAAAACCCCCCCAAAAAAACACCACCACACACAACTGTGTGCAGCACCCCCATAACACTCCCTCTTCATTGTCTGAGACATTAGCCCTTAATCACATCCAGTGAGCCAATGAAGAGAGAAGGGGTGGGGCCAAAGTACAGCTTCATATGAATGGACACATGGAACAGCGGGTGCCCCCATAGCAAGCTGCTTGCTGTGCAAAACCACAGCAGGTAAGTGTATAGACAGGTTTACTTTTGTTTGTTGTTGTTTTTTTTAAAGCAAACCTTTAGAATCACTTTAAGTACAATAAAAAGCTTTAATTTGCACACATCACCCCCATACTTAAAAAGCCCTCCCTGGACCCCTATGACCCGAACAACCTCAGACCCATCTCCCTGCTCCCATTTACATCTAAACTCCTCGAGCGCCTAGTCTACACCCGCCTATGCTCTCACCTCAAGGACAACAACCTCCTCGATCCCCTACAGTCCGGCTTCCGTCCCCTACACTCCACCGAAACTGCCTTACTCAAACTCTCCAACGACCTGCTAACCGCCAAAGCTAATGGCCATTATTCAGTGCTCCTACTCCTTGACCTCTCTGCGGCCTTCAACACAGTCGACCACCCCCTCCTCCTCAAAAAACTACACTCCCTCGGCCTCAGAGATTCTGCTCTCTCCTGGATCTCATCCTACCTGTCACAACGCTCTTTCAGCGTTACCTATAATGCTACCACCTCCCCCTCACTCCCCCTCTCTGTTGGGGTCCTCAAGGCTCTGTCCTCGGGCCCCTTCTCTTCTCCATCTATACCTCCTCCCTTGGCCAACTCATACACTCTCACGGCTTCAACTACCACCTCTATGCCGACGACACACAAATCTATCTCTCAACCCCCCACCTCACCCCCTTGGTCTCAGCCCGAATCACACACCTACTGAGCGACATATCAGACTGGATGTCGCTCCACTTCCTTAAATTGAACCTCTCCAAAACCGAGTTTCTTGTCTTCCCCCCAGCCCGGACACCACCCCCCATTGATTTCTCCGTCACATCCAACAACGCTACCATCAAACCCGCCCTGCAGGCCAGAGTACTGGGTGTCATTCTGGACTCCAACCTATCCTTCCAGCCCCAAGTCCAATCTTTAACAAACTCGTGCAGACTCCACCTCCGCAACATCGCTAAAATACGCACGTTCCTAACCCCAGAAACCACTAAACAGCTCATCCACTCCCTCATCATATCACGACTCGACTACTGCAACTCCCTCCTCACTGGCCTGCCTCGCCGCTGGCTATCCCCTCTTCAGTCCATCCTGAACAAGGCTGCCAGACTCATTCACCTTTCCAACCGCTCTGTCTCCGCCACCCCCCTCTGCCAATCCCTCCACTGGCTTCCGATTGCGCAACGGATCAAATTCAAAATCCTAACGCTGACGTACAAAGCTGTCCACCATACTGCCCCAAACTACATCACTGACCTAATATCCAAGTACCACCCAGCATGCACACTCCGCTCCTCACAAGACCTCCTTCTCTCTAGTTCTCTGGTCTCCTCCTCCCATGCCCGCCTCCAGGACTTCTCCAGGGTGTCACCCATCCTCTGGAACTCCCTGCCCCAACCCATCAGATTATCACCTACTCTCCTCTCCTTTAGGCGCACCCTGAAAACCCATCTCTTCAGGGAAGCCTACCCCACCCCCTGCTAACTTGCCGACCTCCTCCACTCTTCCTACCACTCCATCCCCCACAGCTATCTCCTCCTGTGCCACCACCCCCTCCCTCCTAGATTGTAAGCTCGAAAGAGCAGGGCCCTTGATCCCCTCATGTTTTGCATTGTATTGGTATTGTTCTGTCACATGTTCTGTCTCCCTTTGTAATGTACAGCGCTGAGCGAACTATTGGCGCTTTATAAATACTGTATAATAATAATAATAATAATAATTTGTCACATACATTAAATGACACTGAAAAATACATCTTGAACATAACGCCTCATCTTTCATCCATTCATTTTAGATTTAAGAGTTACTAAAAAGTCAACTGTTTGTTTTTAGGATACGACTACTCCTGCTTTAAACTTAAACACATTAAAGCACCTACAATAACACTTCAACATGCTTTGACGTTTTGATGCTTCAGTGGTGCTTTTTTGAAGCTTGGCAGACGCAGTGTGTGTTGATCTCACACCTGCAATACCTAAAAAATAAAGCAAAGCTAAATAAAAAGTCTCTCAAAAACTGCAAATGCTGTAAGCAAGCCTTGTCAGACTTCTATGGTGGCTTTGACACCAAGAAAGTGACATGGGGTATAATTTTTGAAGCAAAGCAAACGCAACATGTAAACACGACTGTAAGCTAACCATTTCATTTAGAGTCCGGTGCTTTGATTGCCGTTTAGTGTGCTTTAAAAAAAAAAAAAAAAAAAAAAAAAACATTTCCAATGCAATGTTTTGAAGTAAACATGCTCTTAGGGTCTTAGTCTGCTTGTCTTCAAACTGTTTGCAGGCTTTGTGCATCATTTTTATAACAGGCTTCCTTCTGGGACAACAGCCATGCAGACCAATTTGATGCAGTGTGCAGCGTATGGTCTGAACACTCACAGGCTGAACCCCCCCACTCCAACAATGCTGGCAGCACTCATACCTCTATTTCCCAAAGACAACCTCTGGATATGATGCTGAGCACATGCACTCAACTTGTCTGGTCAACCATGGCGAGGCCTGTTCTGAGTGGAACCTCTCCTGTTAAATTGCTGTATGGTCTTGGCCACCGTGCTGCAGCTCAGTTTTAGGGTCTTAGCAATCTTATAGCCTAGAACTGAAAAGAATAGGCGCGGTCGAAAATGCTCTCAGTCAAGCACCTTAATGAAGGTGCATCTTTATTAAGTGAGACAAAGTAGCAAATAAAATTGACCAGCCTGAAGTGAACAGTATGACTCCAACGGATAGCCCAACGGTCTTGTCGGCTACGAATCACATGGTGTCAGCATACTGGCGTCCTGGGTGGCGTCATCACAGCAAGCAAAGGGCGGAAGGTGTTGGTAACCTTGCATACGCTCCCAGCTGAAGCCAGACACCGCCTTCCACCCTTCGCTTGATATGACGACGCCACCCAGGGCGCCGGTACGCTGACACCATGTGATTCATGGCCGACTGGAGCGTTTTTCAATCTCAGCTCCCTTCAGAGCGGACGGGCCGTCCGTTGGAGTCGCACTGTTCACTTCAGGCTGGTCAATTTTATTATATTTGCTACTTTGTCTCACTTAAGATGCACCTTCATTAAGGTGCTTGATGAAGAGAACTGAAAAGAATAGGTTCTGTGGAAAATTCTCTCAATCATGCAAATGATGAACAAGGCAGCAGTGGTGAGCTCATGATTAACTGAGCACATTTCCACCTGGAGTGGCCTCCCTGCGCTCATTTGTATGAGCTTCCCTAATCTTATAGCCTAGGCCGGGTGTCGGCAACCCGCGGCTCCAGAGCCGCATGCGGCTCTTTTTCACCTTTCCTGCGGCTCCGGAGCACACTGCCCACCAGGTGACAGGCAATAGGGTTGCCGTAGCTCAGTGGTCGGCAAGCCACGGCTATTTACACTCTAATGCGGCTCCTCTGTGTGCCGGGCGCCCGCCCCAAAAGTCAGGACTCTGCAGAGCGGAGCGTGGCAAACATTGGCTGTCAGGATGTAGGCGGGGCAGCATGACGAACTCCTCTCCTCTCACAGTCCGCCCTGAAGACCGGAACGGCGCGGGAACACGGCGAGAGGAACGCGCGGAGCAAAGGTAAGTGAATTGACACAATAGGGGGGATGAAATACTATAGGGGGGATGAATTTTCAGTTTTAAAAATGTGGCTCTCAAAATAAATTTCAATCGTGGTTTTGGCAAGATTTGGCTCAGTTGGGGGGGAAAAAAAAAAAAAAAAAAAAAGAAAAAAAAAAAAAAAAAAAAAAAAAAAAGGGTTGCCCACCACTGACCTAAGGCTATGATTGTGATTATGACGATACACTGTGGCCCTGATTAACCCTTTGCTTACTGGGCCCTTAAACCCCCTTCATGACCAGAGCGCTTTTTGCAATATATGCAGTGTCGGATTGGTTTTAAATGTTGCAATGGTTTTGCGGCTCCCAGTCTTTTTTTCCCCTCTCGGAAATGGGTCCAAGTGGCTCTTTATGTCTTAAAGGTTGCAGACCCCTGGCCTAGGCCATCTTTACAAAGAGCAACAATTCTTTTTTTCAGATCCTCAGTTCTGCCATGAGGTGCCATGCTGAACTTCCAGTGACCAGTATGAGAGAGCGCGATATCACAAGATTTAAACACACCTTCTCCCCATTTACACCTGAGACCTTGTAACACTAATGAGTCACATGATACCAGGGAGGGAAAATGGCTAATTGGGCCCAATGTGGATGTAGCAATCGTGCACACAGAGCCGGACGCGGCCCTCCATTTTGTTAAGAATTCTCCATGTTGTCCCATCATCCCCCCTCCATCTCTGCTCATCCACAGTGACATGTGGCCTGAGTGATGAGAAGGGTCACAGGCAGCCAAAGCACAGCAGAGAGCTCCAAGCTATAAAACCTCACGAGCTGGGTGCCTAGCTGTCTAAGAAACTGTGCAATCTGGCACATCCTAAAAGTATAAACTGAGACCCTCACTGAACGTCAAAAGACCTTCCAAGGGGTCGTAAAAACAGACTTTTAAAGACTCACTTTTCATATAAGTTGTTATCTTCACGTAGGACAACTACCTAAACATGGAGCCTATATTCGGAAGGCTCAGTTTGAGGCCATTCTGGCATGCGACACCCCTTAGCTGGCATACCTAGAAAAGCAGAAAGGTATATCTCTTGAACCATTCAAGTGCATATTTCAGGTTTCATCTCTAACCATTCCGCAGATGTGGCTGAGTATTAATATACTAGTGCCCAGGCCGGCAAAGGTACCCAAGAAACGTTATGAGCAAAATATAAGCTATGAGAGATTCTGGTTGTAACTTAGGTCTCCACCCAACACCCCTCCCCAAAAGGAGACCATTGGTTACTACCCCAAAGAGACATCCTGCTGGGATTTTGCTAGAAAAAAGGGTTGTTATGCTTGAAGTGGGTGTGAGAGAAAGCAGAGTCTCCTGCGTTTAACATCGAAACTAGCAGTAGAGACAAGAAATCCTTTTGACTGGACACTTGAAGCTGCTTAAACCAAGGCGGACTGGCAAGTACTTTAACCCTCTAAATTCCTGATCTGCTGTGTTGCTCTCTGTATGCATACATACGGGCTACATCTTTTCTTTCTGTAAATATTTTTATTGCACCCTTTTGACCTTTTAGTAATAAATCTTACAGTAATAAATCTGAATGTGTTGAACTGCGGAGACAGTGGTATACAGACGATTTCATCCATCCTAGTGTTATTGCTGATCTTGCAGAGTTTCCTCTCTGTAGAAAAAGGAGGTGGTGACAGTGTGAAGGGTTAATTGCGTAATTAACCTGACCCAGTAACAATTGTGCTCAGGCTGCCGGTACATCGATTTGTGGTCCAGTGAGCTGGAAAATCGTTGTGCAGGGTGCAGCTGGGCGTGGCATTGTTACGCACGTGACATCGCGGTTTTAGATTGGCTAGTCCTTCAGTCACAACTTTGGTGAGAAGGGCGGGGATCTGATGTTGGGATCGTCACAGTGGACATTTTCACTTAGGGGTGTACTCACTTTTGTTGCCAGCAGTTTAGACATTAATGGCTGTGTGTTGAGTCATATTTACACTGTTATACAAGCTGTACACTCACTACTTTAAATTCTAGCAAAGTCATTTCTTCAGTGTTGTCACATGAAAAGATAAAATATTTACAAAAATGTGAGGGGTGTACACACTTCTGTGAGATACTGTATATGCATACACACAGAATCCGTTGTCTGTGCTTAGGGAACCCTCATTTACCATACCAGCAGTGACTGCACCACCATCAGCAGCTTCTGGTCATGGTTAACATTTGGGTACTGTGGGGGTGGGATTCCAATCATGTGATCAATGTGACAGCCAGTGATGGTGATACAACTGGGCAGCCCTTGTAGCACGGCCAACATTAGGCGCTAACCCCTTCCTGCCAAGCATATGCTGAAGAACGTGTAAAGCTGAAGAACGTGTGACCATGTATTCCTATGGAACCAGTCACACTGATACGTTGCAGGTCCAGTGCACTTTTTAAATACCACTTGCTGCATTTTTGGTGCGAAAAAACAAAAAAACATCCTACACTTTAAAAACCAGATCATAACTACATATGCCTTTTTGACATTTTTTTGCCATGGATCAGTATGAAAGTGCCCGTAATCCTGTTGGGCCACATCTATGCACACTTACGTCTCCCCAAGGACCTGGAGTCTAGTACTAACAACTGGGAACCAGGAGCAATCAGTCATTGTTCAGCCAGCCCTTTTTTTCCCTCTCCACTTCAGTGGAGAAAGATAATGTATCCTGTATGTATAAAATGTATCTTTTTCTCCTGCTTAAGAAAAAAAAAGTTTTTTTTTTATAATTGTTGAAGTTTGTAAGAAAATAAGAGGATCAGTCAAGGTTGGGACAAAAGTCAGGGTCAGTGTACTTTGGATAGGATTAAAAAGCAGCAAAAGATGCATTATTGATTCTGGACACTACTACAGGCACAAATTGACATGCACATATGTGATATTGCTGCGATCGTCAGGAATTGGAGAATGTATTTTATTATTACCCATTTTGGGTTCTTTGGTGGTAGGTTATGATAATAGCAAGAAATATATAGTTATTTAAAAACTTTAGTATTTTGTGCCAGTTTTCCCTTTGATAAAATTAGGGAATATCCTTTACCATTTATCACCAAATGAAAGCACAATTTACCCAGGAAAAAAAACCAAAAAAAAAAAAAAAAAAAAAAAAAAAAAAACCACCTGGATACACAGTAGTTGCAATAGTATGTACAGTTTTATTAACTCGTATCAAAGTTGCAAAACTGCAGTTTGTAGGATTTGTTTTACCCTCAGTCACAAGTTAAAGTCATGGTTAGTAACCTTATCCTCTTCTTGACCATTCTGCTCTAGCAGTGGACTGTACCTTGGCATCCACATGCCCAATGCAAGGCTATGGGCTCTGCGCTGGTCTTGATGACATCAGAGGACCTTAAACCACTGGAGCAGGGGGGTAGAAGAGGCTGCAGGGACTGGTTTACCAGTGCAGAGGAGCAAAGGACCAGGCAAGTAAAACGTTTTTGTTAAATCCCTTAGACAGAAACAAGTAATTAACGCCTGAGTGAGCACAGCCCTACTGCAATAGAAGACTTTTCGGTTTTCTGAAGTCTTAAAGGATATATACACTAAATTGCCAAAAGTATTGGGGCACCCCTCCAAATCATTGAATTCAGGTATTCCAATCACCTCCATGGCCACAGGTGTATAAAATCAAGCACCTAGGCATGCAGACTGCTTCTACAAACATTCGTGAAAGAATAGGTCACTCTCAGGAGCTCACTGAATTCAAGCGTGGTACCATGATAGGTTGCCACCTGTGCAATAAGTCCATCTGTGAAATTTCCTTGCTACTAAATCTTCCACAGTCAACTGTTAGGAGCATTATAATAAAGTGGAAGCAACTGGGTACAACAGCAATTCAGCCACCAAGTGGTAGGCCACGTAAAATGACAGATCGGGGTAAGCACATGCTGAAATGCACAGAAGTCACCAACTGTCTGCAGAGTCAATAGCTAAAGACCTCCAAACTTCATGTGGCCTTCAGATTAGCACAATAACAGTGCATAGAGAGCTTCATAGAATTGGTTTCCATGGCCGAGCAGCTGCATCCAAGCCTTACATCACCAAGTGTAATGCAAAGCAGTGAATACAGTGGTGTGAAAGCACACTGCCACTGGACTCTAGAGCAGTGGAGATGTGTTCTCTGGAGTGACAAATCATGCTTCTCTATCTGGCAATCCAATGGACATGTCTGGGTTTGGCGGTTGCCAGGAGAACAGTACTTGCCTGACTGCATTGTGCCAAGTGTAAAGTTTGGTGGAGGGGGAATTATGGTGTGGGGTTGTTTTTCAGGGGTTGGGCTTGGCCCCTTAGTTCCAGTGAAGGTACCTCTTAAGGTGTCAGCATACCAAGACATTTTGGACAATTTCATTCTCCCAACTTTGTGGGAACAGTTTAGGGATGGCTCCTTCCTATTCCAACATGACTGCACACCAGTGCACAAAGCAAGGTCCATAAAGACATGGATGAGCGTTTCTGGGGTGCAGGAACTTGACTGGCCTGTACAGAGTCCTGACTCAACCCAGATAGAACACCTTTGGGAATGAATTAGAGTAGAGACTGCGAGCCAGGCCTTCTCATCTGACATCAGTGCCTGACCTCACAAATGCGCTTCTGGAAGAATGGTCAAACATTCCCATAGACACACTCCTAAACCTTGTGGACAGCCTTCCCAGAAGAGATGAAGCTGGTATAGCTGCAAAGGGTGGGTCAACTCAATATTGAACCCTATGGGGTAATAAGACTGGGATGCCATTAAAGCTCATGTAAAGGCAGGTGTCCCAATACTTTTGGGAATATAGTATAATAAAATCAAACATGTCAACTACGTGTATCCAATGAAGAATGAGGCCCACTGCTGCTGACTTACTGTCTCCATGATGGGTGGCCAGGGCAGAGCTGCTGACCAGGAGGACCAGGCTGAGGGCTGACACCAAGAACAGGCAGTAGGTAGAGGCACAGGTGAGACAAGCCGAGCCCATCCTCCCACAGTCCCCTCCGCTCTCTTCCACACTGTGTCTCTTCTGCGTCTTCCAGCGCTTCTTCCTCCTCAGTCTCCGTCTTCTTACTTCCTCCCCGCTCTCCAGGGCTCCCTACGAGCCACAAGCCCCCCACCCTTATGTACTGCTAGCTCAGCTGGGAATGATGCATTGCACAACCGGCCCGTATTTTTTAGAATACGGGAATCACCTGACCTATAAGCCCCGCCCTTACGTCTTCCTATTTGTGGTTACGATCACACCCCGATTTTACACGAACCCCGCTATAGGTGAATGTCCCCAGTTCAGCTGACAGCCTGCTCCCAGAGCCCTCCTCCTCCTGTACCCAATGAGCAGCGCGTACACGCCCCCTCTTCCCGTACTGTGCACGTCATCCTCCTCTCTTCTCCACAGTGCGCGCTCCCGCTCTCCAGGTTCACTGCAGCTCCCATTGCTTCACAGTGTTAAAACCTATTGTACCAGATCCTCAGTTCTTGCTGCACAACGGGAACTAGAGGCAATGCCTTGGTTTTTTTTTTCTAGTTTTTTGGATAGAGTAACCCTGTCAGCTTTGTTTTTGCCATCTGTGTCCTGTTGGGGAGATTTTATCTCAATTCCTGTCCCATAGTCACAACAGGAAGTGAGAGGAAATCCCTCCAAAGTAAGGACATCTCTGGTTGTCACCAGTAGAGATGTGCACAATAAAAAAAATGTGATTAGGTAAAGTGTTACTAAACCCAGGACCCTGTATTCACTATATCTGGTCTCTCACAGTACACAGAACATGAAAATGCAATTATTGTAGTAAATACATCCATGACTTCTCCAGAGCCATCCCCATCCTCTGGAACTCTCTACCCCAATCTATCGTCTACTCTGCCCACTTTTAGGCGATCTCTGAAAACCTATCTCTTCAGGGAAGCCTATCCTGCCTTCAGCTAATACCGGAATCAGGGGCGGACTGACCGTTTGGAAACTACGACACTGCCCGAGGGCCCGGGGTCAGTAGGGGGGCCCCATGAGATGCCCCTGGTACCATTTTCATAGGCTTTTTTGAGTTTGGGCAAGGACACGGGCCCCATGATCCCCTATTGCCCGGGGGCCCCCATGAGTTGTCAGTCCACCCCTGACCGGAACCTTCTATTCCTCCTACCAGTCCATCCCCCACAGTTACTACCTTTTGTACCACCAGCCCCTCCCTCCTAGATTGTAAGCTCCCAGGATCAGGCCCTCCTAACCCTCTTGTATTGAACTGTGTTGTTGCTGTATTGTCTCCCATTATATTGTAAAGTGCTGAGCAAACTGTTGGCGCTATATAAATCCTGTATAATAATAAATCCTGTATAATAATAAATCCTGTATAATAAACCGCTATATACCTTTTCTCATCAGCAGCAGTCTTGTGACTTCTATCAGTGTCCATCCAAGCACTGGTTAAAGCTTGTAGGAGGAGTTTTCATTCTGCTCTGACTGTCCTATGAGACTACGTGACCCTACTTCTATCAGTGTCCATCCAAGCACTGCTTAAAACTTGCAGGAAGAGTTTTCATTCTGCTCTGACTGTCCTATGAGGCTACGTGACCCCTGACCCTACTTCTATCAGTGTTCATCCAAGCACTGGGTAAAGCTTGTAGGAGGAGTTTTCATTCTGCTCTGACTGTCCTATGAGGCTTCGTGACCCTACTTCTATCAGTGTCCATCCAAGCACTGGTTAAAGCTTGTAGGAGGAGTTTTCAGTCTGCTCTGACTGTCCTATGAGGCTACGTGACCCCTGACCCTACTTCTATCAGTGTTCATCCAAGCACTGGTTAAAGCTTGTAGAAGGAGTTTTCATTCTGCTCTGACTGTCCTATGAGGCTACGTGACCCCTGACCTTATTTCTATCAGTGTCCATCCAAGCACTGGTTAAAGCTTTTAGGAGGAGTTTTTATTCTGCTCTGACTGTCCTAAGAGGCTACGTGACCCCTGACCCTACTTCTATCAGTGTCCATCCAAGAACTGATTAAAAACTTGTAGGAGGAGTTTTCATTCTGCTCTGACTGTCCTATGAGGCTACATGACCCTACTTCTATCAGTAAAAAAGACAAAACCTCAGCGCCCAGGACTCTCCTATTAGACACACAATACCCCGTGAGATGCTGCTGTACACAGGTGCAAAAACCAAAAAAAAAACTTTTATCAATAAAAACCAGCGCAAACCCACATAATCAATTGCATTACTCAACTTATTAAACAAACTTAAAAACCGTGACACAAAACCACTTTTGTGCTAGTAAAAAATAAAAATAAAATATGTATAAATAAATATATAAATATAAATAATTTAAATTCATAAGTCCAGTGACAAAAAAATCCCAAAAAATTAATTGACAGTCCCGTGACAAAAATAAGTCAAATTGTAATTAAATTATAATTTTTCATTGGATTCTTCCGTGCCTTTGATCCCTTCACCATCCACCAGTGCAAAAACCAACATTTTTTACGTTATCAAGACGCCCTGTGGGTGGGGCGAAACACGTTGACGCACTTCCGGTTGCCTGTTCCGGCGTCTGACGTCATTTCCGGTGAGTGGAACGCACGCCGAGCGGTGCGTTCCAAGGGGCCATCTTAGCATAGTGGATGAGTCTGCATCTGAGGTCTGCCATCCTGCTGTATACTAGGCTGTGGGGTCTCTTATGCAAAGTCGCTGTACTTGGAAAGTGGATCATTTTGAAAGAAAATCATTGTTGTTTCAAATAAAATGCGGGTTATATCCCGCTAAAATGTGAGTGGTCTGGAGAGATTATTTTGAGGAGAAACCACTACGGTATCACGCTATGGTCTTTTCTTCTTCCTGATTTTCCTTGGGGGATTCGGTGAGAAGAGGAAGCAGAAGAGGTACATAGACATAAGAGGAAGCAGCATTTGGAGGTCTCATTTAAAGTAAAGGGGGTCCAGGAGCCCTTAATATTCCTGAAAGGCGTGTGACTCACTAATATCTGGTGAGTGCGGTTAATGTTGGTTTTTGCACTGGTGGATGGTGAAGGGATCAAAGGCACGGAAGAATCCAATGAAAATTATAATTTAATTACAATTTGACTTATTTTTGTCACGGGACTGTCAATTAATTTTTTGGGATTTTTTTGTCACTGGACTTATGAATTTAAATTATTTATATTTATATATTTATTTATACATATTTTATATTTTATTTTTTACTAGCACAAAAGTGGTTTTGTGTCACGGTTTTTAAGTTTGTTTAATAAGTTGAGTAATGCAATTGATTATGTGGGTTTGTGCTGGTTTTTATTGATAAAACTACTTCTATCAGTGTCCATCCAAGCACTGGTTAAAGCTTGTAGGAGGAGTTTTCATTCTGCTCTGACTGCCCTATGAGGCTACGTGACCCCTGACCCTACTTCTATCAGTGTCCATCCAAGCACTGCTTAAAGCTTTTAGGAGGAGTTTTCATTCTGCTCCGACTGTCCTATGAGGCTACATGACTTCTGTCCCTCTATCTGGACAGTGCTGTTTGGCCCTGTGCTGATCACATGCACCCTCTCATAGAAAAAAACCCCTCTCTGACCATACACACCAAACTGAGCATGTGCAGAGTGCTTCCTAGAGTTGTGTAATTAACAGATGGATTGGGGACAGTAAAAGGGGAGGATCAGAGCAGTAAGGATCAAACAGCCTTTTTACACAATGCAGAGGATTAACCCCTTAGGTTCCACAGAGTATGACAAGCATGCTTTACTGCATATACAGTCTGATTTTACTGTTGTGGGTTTAGTAACACTTTAAGTTGATCATTTAATTTCATCATATTTGTTATGTTAGAATGATTCGTTTTCAGAATTAATTTCATTTGTTTTGTATATATTCATTATTCCAAATCAAATTTACTTTCAGAAGTTACTTCAGAAGATTTGGATTCATTTTTTCGTTTCCAGTGCTACTTGTTTGTGACCTCGATGCAACTTAGCTCTGGTTGACACCAAGTGCAGTTTTGAAGTCGATTTCAAAACCGAAAATAAGTGTGACTTCATACACAGACATCAATGCAAGCCGCACATGATATTGCAGGAACCTTTTTCAAAGTCGCACCGATTTGAACGGTTCTGTAGTGGCAAACAGGGTGCGACTTGTCACTTTGATCTGTCAAGTCGCATGACAAGTCGCACTTGGTGTGAACACGGGCTTACTTGCGACTTCGAATGAAACTAGCTTGTGACTTTGTATTGTTTTGATGGGCCATAGTTCCAAAACATCAGAGTGTGACACATAATACTGAACTTATAAAACCCTCTCAAGTCGCACAAAAATGAATTGGTTGTGTTCGTTATAATTTATTTTGGATTTTTTTCAAATTCATTGCTATTGGGATTCTGAGATTTGGATACATCCAGATATATGCCTTATGTCTATATGCAGCCTCGCGGTGGGTGGGGCTTGAATGCCGTTTGGACATGAATATGCATCTCTATGTAAAAACCTTACAGCGCTGAGTGCACGCTCCCAGCACAGTAACTAGCGGGTACCAGAAAGCTCCCACTAAGGAGCTGTCTGATCATGTGACTGTCAATCACAGTGGTCACATGATCAGAATGCCAACCTCTGCCTGACAGCATTTATAACCTGTTAAAGGACCAGGAGGCAGCAGCAGGAAGGGGTTAAATAGTTAGTTTAGGCCCAATTTCCTTTACTAATTCTTGTGGCGGCCATCATTGCTGTATAACCTGTATGTAGCATCATCTACCTACAGTATTCAGTAAAGCTTTGTGTTTCAGCAGCAGGAAGGATACTTCTTGTCTGTTCCCAGAACAATATGGACTTGGCTGAACACTTCTCAGCCATTCACAGGAAGCCTTGTATTTTTATGAATGAATACAAGGCTTCCTATAAATGGAGGTGGAGATCATGACATCAACCGCCTGCCTCCCCACCTCAGCCAATCAGAGGAAGCTTTGACAATCACTATAGCCATGGCCAGGGGCAGGCTGACAACTCATGGGGCCCCCGGG